TGTGAATCGGCAGGGGGTTATGCGGTTGAAGGCAAAGTGGGAAGTGTGAAGTGTTGAAGGGGCGTGTTTGTGTTGTGTTGGGATGTATGTTGTGCAGGAGTTGCCAACGCCGTGGATGTGTGGAGGGCGTGTAGTTTCTGAGGTGCACAATATTGTTGGTAGAAGGTGTTGGCGAGTGTGTTCTGGGAAACATAATTAAGAAACAAAATCTCCCAACCCAGCACACTTCTCCACAAAGAGAGTAGAGACAGAAAATAGTTTTATTATTATTTTTGGTTAAAAAGTTTTAGGCCTGGTTTGGTGGCTCATGCCTGTAATCCCAGCACTTTGGGAGGCCGAGGCAGGCGGATTGCCTGAGCTCAGGAGTTCGAGACCAGCCTGGGCAACATGGTGAAAACCTGACTCTACTAAAATACAAAAAATTAGCCAGGCGTAGTGGTGAGCACCTGTAGTCCCAGCTTCTTGGGAGGCTGAGGCAGGAGAATCGCTTGAACCCAGGAGGCGGAAGTTGCAGTGAGCAGAGATCACGCCACTGCACTCCAGCCTGGGCGACAGACCGAGACTCGGTCTCAAAAAAAAAGTTATTTTTATTTTTATTTTTTTAGAAACTCAATGTTTATTTTCCATGAACCTTATATGTTGCTTAAGAGCCCGTGCAAGAACAGCTTAAGACCATTCAGTGGTTGCTCCTACCCATTCAGTGGCCTGAGCAGTGGGAGCTGCAGACCAGTCTTCCGTGGCAGGCTGGGCGCTCCAGTCTTCAGTAGGGAACTGCTGGATGGGCACAGAGGGCACCTGCACGCCTTCGGACCAGTCAGCAACCTCAGGCTGAGTAGCAGTGAACTCAGGAGCTGGAGCAGTCCATTCGCCCTGAAGTTCCTCCGTGGTCACAGCCTTTTCAGCAGCAGCCTGCTCTTCCTTTTCAATCTCTTCAGGATCTCTGTAGAAGTAGAGATCAGGCATGACCTCCCCACGGGTGTTCACGGGAAATGGTGCCACGCATGCGCAAAACCTCCCGAGTCAGCATCCACCACATCAAACCCACCGAGTGAGCTCCCTGGTTGTTGCATGGGATGGCAATGTCCACATGGCGCAGAGGAGAATCTGTGTTACACAGAGCGATGGTAGGTAGGTGAACATAAGACGCCCCCGTGAGAGGCTGGTGGTCAGCCCTGGGGTCAGTAACCGCAAGCAGCCGTGGCTCCAGGAAGGCTGCCTGGATCTGGTTGGTGAAGGTTCCAGGAGTGAAGCGGCCAGCAATTGGAGTGGCTCCAGTGGCAGCAGCAAACTTCAGCACGGCCCTCTGGCCAGCATTCCTGGAGGATATGACACTGACATCAGCAGGGTTTTCAATGGCAACAATGGCACGAGCTGCCAGGAGAAGCTTCTCCCAGGTCCTCCTCAGATTTATGATGCAGATGCCATCATTTTTCCATTTCTAGATATACTGCTCCATCTGGAAGTCAAGGTTGGTGCCACCTAAATGGGTTCCTGCTGTTAGGAACTTAAGGACATCCTCTTCCTTCATTTGCAGGACATCAAGGGCTCCGGACATTATGACAGTTTCCCTTTAAGTTACGATGGGAATCCAGAACAACGCTGTATGGAGCCCTCAGCAGGTATCGCGGAAAGCCAAAAAAAAAAAAAAAAAGTTGTTTTTTTGTTTGTTTGTTTGTTTTTGAGATGGAGTTTCTCTCTTGTTACCCAGGCTGGAGTGCAATGGTGCGATCTCGGCTCACTGCAACCTCCGTCTCCTGGGTTTAAGCAATTCTCCTGCCTCAGCCTCCTGAGTAGCTGGTACGACAGGCGTGTGCCACCATGCCCAGCTAATTTTTGTATCTTCAGTAGAGACGGGGTTTCACCATGTTGACCAGGATGGTCTCGATCTCTTGACCTCGTGATCCACCTGTCTCGGCCTCCCAAAGTGCTGGGATTATAGGCATGAGCCACTGCGCCCGGCCAAAAAAAGGTTTTAAAATGTATTGTTATTTTTTTAGAGTCAGGGGTTTTACTATATTGCCCAGGTGGATCTTAACACTCAGCCTCAAGTGGTCCTCCCATCTTGGCCTCCCAAAGCCAAAGTGCTAGGATTACAGACATGAGGCACCACACCTGGCCTTAAATTTCATATGTATTTACTTATTTTTAGAGAGAGGGTTTTGCTCCATTGCCTAGGCTAGAGTGCAGTGGTGAGATCACAGCTCACTGCAGCCTTGAACTCCTGGGCTCAGTCAGCCTCCTGAGTGGCTAGGACTACAGGTATGCATCACCACACCCACTAATTATTATTATTTTTTGTAGAAACAGGGTCTTGCTATGTTGCCCAGCCTGGCCTTGAACACCAGACCTCAAGTGATCTTCCCACTTCAGGCTCCTGGTGCTGGGATTACAGGCATAAGCCACCATGCTTGAGCTGGTTTTATTATTGAACAAGAATTATTTTTTCTTTTTATTTTGAGAAGGAGTTTTGCTCTTGCTGCCCAGGCTGGAGTGCAACAGCACGATCTCAGCTCACTGCAACCTCCACCTCCCGGGTTCAAGTGATCCTCTTGCCTCAGGCTCCCCAGGAACTGGGATTACAGGTGCCCACCACCACGCCTGGCTAATTTTTTTGTGTTTTTAGTAGAAAAATACAGCACCATGTTGACCAGGCTGGTCTCGAACTCCTGACCTCAGGCAATCCACCCGCCTTGGCCTCCCAAAGTGCTGGGATTACAGGCATGAGCCACTGCACCTGGTCTGAATAAACATTAAGTTAGAAAGTGATGCACATCACTGGCAATCTGCTAAAAGATTGAAAAGGCAAAAAAAAGTCTATCATCCTTCTTTATAGCCAAGCAGGTAGAAACCATTATCTTGTTTTCAAGAGAAATTTTCTTTTTCTTTCTTTCTTTTTTTTTTTTTATCTTTTGAGACGGAGTTTCGCTCTTGTTACCCAGGCTGGAGTGCAATGATGCGATCTCGGCTCACCGCAACCTCCGCCTCCTGGGTTCAGGCAATTCTCCTGCCTCAGCCTCCTGAGTAGCTGGGATTACAGGCACGCACCACCATGGCCAGCTAATTTTTTTTTTTTGTATTTTTAGTAGAGACGGGGTTTCACCATGTTGACCAGGATGGTCTTGATCTCTTTTTTTTTTTTTTTTTTTTTTTTTTGAGACGGAGTTTCGCCCTTGTTACCCAGGCTGGAGTGCAATGGCGCGATCTCGGCTCACCGCAACCTCCGCCTCCTGGGCTCAGGCAATTCTCCTGCCTCAGCCTCCTGAGTAGCTGGGATTACAGGCACACACCACCATGGCCAGCTAATTTTTTTTTTTTTGTATTTTTAGTAGAGACGGGGTTTCACCATGTTGACCAGGATGGTCTTGATCTCTTTTTTTTTTTTTTTTTTTTTTTTTTTTTTTTGAGACGGAGTTTCGCCCTTGTTACCCAGGCTGGAGTGCAATGGCGCGATCTCGGCTCACCGCAACCTCCGCCTCCTGGGCTCAGGCAATTCTCCTGCCTCAGCCTCCTGAGTAGCTGGGATTACAGGCATGCGCCACCATGCCCAGCTAATTTTTTGCACTTTTAGTAGAGACGGGGTTTCACCATGTTGACCAGGATGGTCTCGATCTCTCGACCTCGTGATCCACCCGCCTCGGCCTCCCAAAGTGCTGGGATTACAGGCTTGAGCCACCGCGCCCGGCGGTCTCGATCTCTTGACCTCATGATCCACCTGCCTCGGCCTCCCAAATTGGGAGGTTTACAGGCGTGTGCTGGGATTACAGGCGTGAGCCACCGCGCCCGGCCTTTCTTTCTTTTTCTTTCTTGCTTTCTCGCTTTCTGGCTTTCTCACTTTCTCGCTGTCTTTCTCTCTCTTTCTTGCTTTCTTTCTTTTCTTTTTTGAGACAGAATCTTGTTCTGTTGCCCTGACTGGAGTGCAGTGGTGCGATCTTGGCTCACTGCAACCTCCACCTCCTGGGTTCAAGTGATTCTCCTGCCTCAGTCTCCTGAGTAGCTGGGATTACGGGCATACGCTACCACATCCAGCTAATTTTTGTACTTTATTAGTAGAGACGGAGTTTCACCATGTTGGCCAGGCTGGTCTCCAACTCCTTACTTCAAGTGATCCACCTGCCTTGGCTTCCCAAATTGCCGGGATTACAGGCGTGAGCCACCATTGCCTAGCTTTATAATGGTAAGTGGGGCAACTACCTGTGTTAGTGAATTGGCTTGTATGTTAGGGGCGGGTAGACACAAACTTCTCATATCTTTAGGACGGAAAGTAGTCTGCATCTTGGAGCATGACTGAAGCCAGGCTCTTACCCTCCTGGGGGAACTGGGAGACAGGGGAGCTAACTCCCGTGACCCTTGCTTTTTCTCAGGGTTCCCAGGTCCTTGAGTTTCTGAGTTCTGAGACTGGCAAGAGGCTTATGTAGCCATCATAAGGATTTACATATGCTGGGCTGAGTGTGATCACCTTGACCAGGCCTGGCTAATTTTGTATTTTTAGTAGAGACGGGGTTTCTCCATGTCGGTCAGGCTGTTTTTGAACTCCCGACCTGAGGTGATCCACCTGCCTAGGAACCCAAAGTGCTGGGATTACAGGCGTGAGCCACTGCGCCCAATTTTTGCCTTCTTAGTGGAGACGCGGTTTCGCCCCCATGGGCCAGGCTGGACTCAAACTCCCGAGCTCAAGCGATCTGCCGCTTCAGCCTCTCAAAGTGCCGGGACTACAAGCGTAAGGTTCTGCGCCTGGTCATATCCGCAGTTTCTACAAGGAATTGTCGCTGTAGAACAGAATTCTCACCAGGCCCGCCTTCCTCCTTCCGGAAGCGTTAGCGCAAGAGGACTACGTTTCCCAGGACGCCCCGCTCCTAACCAAGCTAGAAGACCGGTGTCTTGGATGGGCGGGTCCGGGAGAGGCTAGTCTGTGGAGGGGAGGCCCAGCCAATGGGTGAGGCCGACTGAATCGAAACCTACGCTGATTGCGCCGAGGTGATTGGAATCTTTGGCGCCTTGTTTTCAGTGGTGGACGCATGATGAGCGGGTACAGAGACCAATGAAAAGGCGGAAAGGAGGATTCCGCGCGTGTGGGCGTGAAGAGGTGCTAACGAGCAGGCTGTTTGTCCAATGAAAGGTGAAAGTCTCTGAAGTGGGCGGGGGCGAGGCGTGAGGAGGCGGGCGTGTGTGGTGGCCGAGCGTGTGCCATGGCGGAATCTGTGGGGAAGCGGGGCCGCTGGTCCCGAGGTAGCGGTGCCGGCCGAAGGGGTCGGGGCGACCGGGGCGGCCGGGGCCGGCGTCCTCGGGCTCAGCGGTCTCCAGCCTGTGGCACTCTGGACGTGGTGTCTGTGGACTTGGTCAGCGATAGCGACGAGGAAATTCTGGAGGTCGCCACTGCTTGCGGTGCAGCTGATGCGGTTGAGGTTGCGCCCCCGGAGACCCCCGGGCCGGCCGCGTCCCGGGATGACAGCGACACTGACAGCGAAGGAGCGGACGCGCGGCCTGCAGGACCCCCGCGGGAGCCTGTCAGGCGGCGGCGCCGGCTGCTGCTGGATCCAGGGGAGGCGCCGCTGGTTCCGGTGTACTCGGGGAAGGTGCAGCCGGTCCCGGGGAGGGGACGGTCGGAAGGGCCAGGGGCTTGGTCTCCAGGGACGGGCCGGCGTTCGGGGAGGGTAGGGCTGTAGGAGTGTTGAGGCTGGGGTTCTGGGGCTGGTCCTGGGGTGCTAGGGTGTTGGAAGCAGGAAGAGACAGGGCTCCGGGACTTTCTGCAGACCGGGGTGGTGAAGGAGGTTGGGATGCATTGGAAGTTTAGGATTCCTAGGAGCTAGAGTCTTGGGGGCACAGGGAGGCTGAAGAGCTGGGGTTCCTGTGGCCTTAGAGGGACTGGAAGGACCCGAAGCCGTTGGATATTGAGGTTGGGGCCCATGGCTAATGAAGCCAGGGAGCTGAGGTATTGGGGGTTGGGGTCCATGCAGGTTCAGAGTAGACTAGGTGGCTCCAGGAGTCTGGGGTCCCCCGATGGTCGTGTGAGCTAGGGGGCTGGGCGTCCCTAAGAGTCTGTGAGAGAGGGGCGGCTAGTAACCTAGTTAAAAAGGACAACAAAACATACATCTTCCGAGTGCCTTAGGCAGATTGAGGAAAGGGCGAAGGGATTCCGTTCTGAATCCTGGAGAATCTGGACTCTCCAAGTCGCCAGGAGAGGTCCAAGGTGTCCACGATCTTAGGAGGGATTTAGGAGCTGGGTGTCAGGGAAGAATTACCCCCAGGTTTTTCTTTCTGTAGAGGGAAGGACTTGACTTGGGCCTGACCCCTCTCCCTTCTTGTCTTTGCAGGTTAAAAGGAGCCTTCACCTCATCCCAGATGACCTATCCCTCCTGAAACTCTATCCTCCAGGGGCTGAGGAAGGTAAGGGGGGGCCTCCAGGGAGAAGCACTAAGCTGGCTTCTCTTAGGAGTCTTCCTGGGGTTTATATTCCTGCAGTCACTTGTCTCCTGAGGCTCAAGAAAAGGGCGTGGGAGAGGGGACTCCTTCGTCCTAGGCACAGGAGCTGGATTAACAGGCATAGTATGTGTTACTGTATATACATTTCTGGTGCCACCGGCAGAGATGCTGATTCTGTAGTCCTTGCGGGGAGGAAAGGGGAGGTGTTGAGTATCTGTGACATCTTGTTACATCTGCAGCAGGTTTCTTGGGAACACTGGAGCCAGCAGGGTCTTCTCTGAATCTTATCAGGGCTGCCTTTTGTCCTCCTCAAGTGATACTTTTATTTTTTGAGATGGAGTTTCGCTCTTGTTGCCCAGGCTAGAGTGCAATGGCATGATCTTGGCTCACCGCAACCTCCGCCTCCCGGGTTCAAGCGATTCTTCTGCCTCAGCCTCCCGAGTACCTGGGATTACAGGCATGCGCCACCACGCCTGGCTAATTTTGTATTTTTAGTAGAGACAGGGTTTCTCCATGTTGGTCAGGCTGGTCTTGAACGCCTAACCTCAAGTGATCTGCCCACCTCAGCCTCCCAAAGTGCTGGGATTACAGGTGTGAGCCACTGTGCCCAACCAATTGATGCATTTTTTTTTTTTGCAAACAACTCAAGGGCAGAGAATAGGAATCAAGGCTAATGAGGAAATAGTTCACTGGGCAAATGGAGACCTTGGACCAAGACTCTTATACTGTAAGGGAGTATGGTGGGATGATTAAGGGCAGAGAAGAGTCATCTAGCTTGGGTTTGAATCCCAGTTCTATCTCTCTCTTTTCTTTTTTTTCTTTTCTTTTCTTTTTTTTTTTTTTTGGAGACAGAGTTTCGCTCTTGTTACCCAGGCTGGAGTGCAATGGCGCGATCTCGGCTCACCGCAACCTCCGCCTCCCGGGTTCAGGCAATTCTCCTGCCTCAGCCTCCTGAGTAGCTGGGATTACAGGCACGCGCCACCATGCCCAGCTAATTTTTTGTATTTTTAGTAGAGACGGGGTTTCACCATGTTGACCAGGTTGGTCTCGATCTCTCGACCTTGTGATCCACCCGCCTCGGCCTCCCAAAGTGCTGGGATTACAGGCTTGAGCCACCGCGCCCGGCCTAATTTTCGTAGTATTTATTTTCGTGGTTTGTGATGATCCTTTATTGATGGCAGGCAAATGGACAGAAATTTCTATATTATAGAAAATAAGGGCCGGGTGCGGTGGCTCAAGCCTGTAATCCCAGCACTTTGGGAGGCCGAGGCGGGTGGATCACGAGGTCGAGAGATCGAGACCATCCTGGTCAACATGGTGAAACCCCGTCTCTACTAAAAATACAAAAAACTAGCTGGGCGTGGTAGCGCGTGCCTGTAATCCCAGCTACTCAGGAGGCTGAGGCAGGAGAATTGCCTGAGCCCAGGAGGCGGAGGTTGTGGTGAGCCGAGATCGCGCCATTGCACTCCAGCCTAGGTAACGAGAGCGAAACTCCGTCTCAAAAAAAAAAAAAAAAGAAAGAAAATAATACCTGGCTTCTTTTCATGAGAAATTTAAGTTGATATGAGCGATCTTTTTTTTTTTTTTTCTTTTTGAGACGGAGTTTCACTCATGTTGCCCAGGCTAGAGTGCAATGGTTCGACCTCGGCTCACTGCAACCTCTGCCTCCCGGGATCAAGCGATTCTCCTGCCTCAGCCTCCTGAGTAGCTGGGATTACAGGCATGCACTACCATGCCTGGCTAATTTTGTATTTTTGGTAGAGACGAGGTTTCTCCATGCTGGTCAGACTGGTCTTGAACTCCTGACCTTAGGTGATCCTTCCGCCTTGACTTCCCAAAGTGCTGGGATTACAAGCATGGACCACCGCACCCAGCCAATACGAGCGATCTTTTTTTTTTTTTTTTTTTTTTTTTTTTGAGACGGAGTTTCACTCTTGTTACCCAGGCTGGAGTGCAATGGCGCGATCTCGGCTCACCGCAACCTCCGCCTCCTGGGTTCAGGCAATTCTCCTGCCTCAGCCTCCTGAGTAGCTGGGACTACAGGCACGTGCCACCATGCCCAGCTGATTTTTAGTATTTTTAGTAGAGATGGGGTTTCACCAGGTTGACCAGGATGGTCTCGATCTGTTGACCTCGTGATCCACCCGCCTCGGCCTCCCAAAGTGCTGGGATTACAGGCTTGAGCCACCGCGCCCGGCTTGAGCGATCTTTATACTAAATAGCAGTCGAATTCCCTGCCGCCTTTCCAGATATTATCATTTGGCTCTGTGTGTACCAGGGGCTCCATGGTCTCCTTTCCAGGGACCTTCTCGAAACCTTTGACTTGTTTCTTCTTGGCCTTCACTGGCCTCCCTTGGCTAACCCTCTTCTACTTTCTCTTCCTCTGCCTTCAGAGGCGGAGCTGGCAGATATGAGTGGTCTCTACCATGAGGACTCCCCATCACCAGGCTCTCCCTGGAAGACAAAGCTGAGGACTAAGCATAAAGAAGAGAAGAAAAGGACAGAGTTTCTGTGAGTGAGGCCAGGGCCCTTGGGCCCTGGGAGCAGGAAGTGAGTTGGAGGGGTAAGCTGAGGTAGGCAGGACCCTTGGGTGACTCCTGAAAGGGTAAGAAGAAGGGATAGAAGGACTGTTGAGGTTCATGTGGGGATTGCATTACTTGGGAAAAGAGGTGGCTTACTCCAGAGAGTGACAGTGAACCCTTCAGGACCACCCTTGGGAGTGGATTCTCAGACTCTGGTCATGCCAGTTTAAGGCGTGGTTCCAGTCCATCTTCCCTGTCCTCTCCATGCTTCTCTTTCTTCATCTATCAAACCCTGTTTTGGCTGGGCAGAGTGGCTCACACCTGTAATCCCAGCACTTTGGGAGGCCGAGGCGGGCAGATCACGAGGTCAAGAGATCAAGACCATCCTGGCCAACACGGTGAAACCCCATCTCTACTAAATATACAGAAAAATTAGCCGGGCGTGATAGCACATGCCTGCAGTCCTAGCTACTCGGGAGGCTGAGGCGGAAGAATCGCTTGAACCCAGGAGGCGGAGGTTGCATTGAGCTGAGATTGCACCACTGCACTCCAGCCTGGTGACAGAGCAAGACTCCGTCTCAAAAAAAAAAAAAACAAAACAAAAAACAAAACCCTGTTTTATAGCCTGGGCAACATAGAGAGACCCTGTCCCCCTCCCCCCACAGCCCCACACACAAATTAGCCTGGCATGGTGGTGCACACTTGTAGTCCCAGCTGCTCCAGAGGCAGAAGTGGGAGGATCACTTGATCCCAGGAGTTGGAGGCTACAGCAAGCAATGATCGTGCCACTGTACTCCAACCTGGATGACAGAGTGAGACCTTGTCTCTAAAAAGCAAACAAGCAAACAAAAAACCCCCAAATCCAGGGATAATAGTGGCATTTGTGTCAGTGAATTGCTGAGTCAATCAAGAGTTAACATTTGGCTGGGTACAGTGGCTCTTGCCTGTAATCCTAGCACTTTGGGAGGCCAAGGTGGGTGGATCACCTGAGGTCGGAGTTCAAGACCAGGCTGGCCATCATGGTGAAACCCCATCTTAAAAAAAAAAAAATGCCTCGGGCTTCCTTGCTCCCCTACTCCTGCCTTCCAGTGAAATGGGGCTCCTTTTTATTTTTTTAATGTATTTTTACGTTTTTAGAGATAGAATTTCATTCCATTGCCCAGGCTGGAGTGCAGTGGCATGATCGTAGCTCATTGCAGCCTCAAATTCCTGGGTTCAAGCAATCCTCCCACCTCGGCCTCCTGAGTAGCTGGGACTACAGCTGTGTGCCACCATGCCTGGCTAATTTTAAAAAAACATTTTTTGTAGAAGTAGGGTCTCCCCATCTTGCCCAGCCTGGTCTTAGACTCCTGGGCTTGAGCGATCCTCCTGGCTCAACTTCCCAGAGTGCTGGGATTACAGGTGTGAACCATTGCGTCAGACTATGCTCCTCTCGATTGTCCAGGAATCTGGTTTCTAGGGATTTGTGGGGCCGGGCTCTCTCCGCTGCCTCCATCCTGACTTCTCTTGCTTCTGCAGGAATCAGGACAGCTCTCCTCTGCCCCTGTCTTCACAAAGAACCAAAAGCAGAAAGCATACTCGGGCACTCAAGAAATTAAGGTACCAAGCGCAGGAGCTCTGGCTGGGATGGAAAAGGGCAGTTTGGCAGGGTGGCCAACTCCAGCTGACCCAGAGTCCTGTCTGCACTGCAGGGACGTGAACAAGCGCCTCCAGGATCTCCGTTCTTGCCTGAGCCCCAAGCCACCTCAGGGCCAAGACCAGCAGGGCCAAGAGGATGAAGTGGTCTTGGTGGAAGGGCCCATCCTCCCAGAGACTCCTCGACTCTTCCCACTCAAAATCCGGTGCCGGGCTGACGTGATCAGGCTTCCTGTCAGAATGGTGAGTGCCTGAGGCCCGTGGGAGAAGGACCCAGGAGATGCCTCTAGAGAGAAGCGGTGTCCAGCAGGGGTGTTCTGGCAGAAGGGACTGTGTCATCGTTTTCCCAGCCTGCTCTCTGGAGCTGCCTGTCATTCTTTTCAGTCCTTCATGCCTTCACACTTTTTGTTTCCTCTGTCTGCATTTTCCCAATGCTCCCCTCTTTCTGGCAAACTTTCTACCCATTCTTCAAGGCTCCACATAAGCATCCTGTGTCTTTCTTTTTTCTTTTTCTTCAAAAAGTGGTTTCACTATGTCCAGGTTGGTTCTGAACTCCTGGGCTCAAGCAATTGTCCCTCATTGGCCTCCCAAAGTGCTGGGATTTCAGGTATGAAGCATCTTTTTTTTTTTTTTTTTTTTTTTGAGGCGGAGTTTCGCTCGTTACCCAGGCTGGAGTGCAATGGCGCGATCTCGGCTCACCGCAGCCTCCGCCTCCCGGGTTCAGGCAATTCTCCTGCCTCAGCCTCCTGAGTAGCTGGGATCACAGGCACACGCCACCATGCCCAGCTAATTTTTTGTATTTTTAGTAGAGACGGGGTTTCACCTCGTTGACCAGGATGGTCTCGATCTCTTGACCTCGCGATCCACCCGCCTCGGCCTCCCAAAGTGCTGGGATTACAGGCTTGAGCCACCGAGCCCGGCAAAGCATCTTATTTATTTATTTATTTATTTATTTATTTATTTATTTTATTTATTTATTTATTTATTTTTTTTGAGACAGAGTTTCGCTTTTGTTACCCAGGCTGGAGTGCAATGGCGCGATCTCGGCTCACCGCAACCTCCGCCTCCTGGGTTCAGGCAATTCTCCTGCCTCAGCTTCCTGAGTAGCTGGGATTACAGGCACGCGCCACCACGCCCAGCTAATTTTTTGTATTTTTAGTAGAGACGGGGTTTCACCATGTTGACCAGGATGGTCTCGATCTCTCGACCTCGTGATCCACCCGCCTCAGCCTCCCAAAGTGCTGGGATTACAGGCTTGAGCCACCGCGCCCGGCCCTTATTTATTTATTTTTGCGACAGAGTCTCTTTCTGTCGCTAGGCTGGAGTGCAGTGGCTGTGCAGTGGTGCAATCTTGGCTCACTGCAACCTCCACCTCCCGGGTTCATGAGATTCTCCTGCCTCAGCCTCCCAAGTAGCTGGGACTACAGGCGAGTGCCGCCCCGCCCTGATTTTTTGCATTTTTAGTAGAGACGGGGGTTTCACCTTGTTGGCCAGGATGGTCTTGATCTCTTGATCCCGTGATCCACCCGCCTTGGCCTCCCAAAGTGCTGGGATTACAGGCATGAGCCACTGCACCTGGCCACATTTGTCTTCGTAGAAGCTTTTTTTTGGGAGTCCTTCCTACTTTCCCCCTAGGACCCTGGGCTTCCCTCTTGGGCTTGATCTCACTGCCCTGGACAGAGCAGATACCACTGAGTCACCCGGAGCTTCCCCAGCTTCTTGGTCAAGCCTGATAGTTTCGTAGGGATGACCCTGTTTCAACACCAAGAATGATAACAGACGTTTACCATTACTGATGCATCATGTATCATTCAAGCAACTAAGCCAGAGGTTGCTAACCGGTAGCCCGTGGCTTTTTCAACAGTGTGTCTGCTTTCTTTGCCCTGTAGACTTTTATTTTATTTTATTATTTTATTTTTATTTTTTGAGACAGAGTCTCGCTCTGTCACCCAAGCTGAAGTGCAGTGGCATGATCTTGGCTCACTGAAACCTTTGCCTCCCAGGTTCAGGCAATTCTCTTGCCTCAGCTTCCTGAGTAGCTGAGACTACAGATGCCCCCCGCCCCCCCCCCACCACGCCCTGCTAATTTTTGTATTTTTAGTAGAGATCGGGTTTCACTATGTTGTTCAGACTGGTCTTGAACTCCTGATCTCAAGTGATCCACCTATCTCAGCCTCGCAAAGTGCTGGGATTAGAGATGTGAGCCACCATCCCTAGCCTATTTTATTTTGAAACAGAGATGGGGGCCAGGCATGGTGGCACACACCTGTAGTCCCAGTGACTTGGGAGACTAAGGCAGGAGGATCTTCTGAGTCCAGGAGTTGGAGGCTGCAGTGAGCTGTGCTTGTGCTGCTGCACTGTAGCCTGGGTGACAGAGCAAGACCCTGTCTCCAAAAAAAAAAAAAAAAAAAAAAATAGAAATGGGATCTTGCTTTGTTGCTCAGGCTGATCTTGAATTCCTGACCTCAAGCAAGCCTCTAACCTCTGTCTTCTAAAATGCTGAGGTTATAGGTGTGAGCCACCATGCCTGGTCGAGTGCTTTAAAAATATTCAAGTTTGTTGTCACCTTTGTCATGGGTGATTTCATACAAAAGTCCAGATTTCTGGCTGGGTACGATGGCTTATGCCTGTAATCCCAGCACTTCAGGAGGCTGAGGTGGGTGGATCACCTGAGGTCAGGAGTTCAAGACCAGCCTGGCCAACATCTTAAAAACCCTGTCTCTACTAAAAATACAAAAATTAGCCAGTTGTGGTGGTGGGTGCCTACAATCCCAGCTGCTTGGGAAGCTGAAGCAGGAGAATAGCTTGAACCTGCAGGGCAGAGGTTTCAGTGAGCCAAAATTGTGCCTCTTCATTCCAGTCTGGGTGGAAGAGCAAGACTGTGCCTCAAAAAAAAAAAAAGGTTTGGATTTCTGGCTTCTCTTAAAAAATAGGAAGATTCAGCCAGGCATGGTGGCTCACCCCTGTAATACCTATATTTGGGAGGCCGAGGCGGGTGGATCACCTGAGATCAGGAGTTCAAGACCAGCCTGGCCAACATGATGAAACCCTGTCTACTAAAAATATAAAAAATTAAGTGGGTGTAGTGGTGAGCACCTGTAATCCCAGCTACTCAGGAGGCTGAGGCAGGAGAATTGCTTGAACCCACAAGGTGGAAGTTGCATTGAGCCAAGATCATGCCACTGTACTCCAGCCTGGGCAACAAGAGTGAAACTGTGTCTCAAAAAAAAAAAAAGAGAGAAAAATAGGAAGATGTAGTCACATTGGCCCACGTTCCCACACAGTGCCAATCAACTGGAGCTGCATAACAGCTAGCCTGTCTGGGTGGCATGTGAGTTCCAGTTTGCTGCAATCCCCACCACCCCTTTCTTTGTCCTAACCTATGGCTGCTGTATTTCTTTGTGTTACTTGCCAGTATCCCTTGCTAATTTTATTCTATACCTTACCAAGTAAATACGATGTAACTCACAGCTGAGGAGCTTAGCAAGTAGCTAAGGCCAGAGCTTGTGTTTGGTGGTGGTGTTGTGGGGGTGGATTTTGACGTAGGAAGACCTCTTTTGCTTTTTGTCCCATCCCTAGTCGGAGCCCCTGCAGAGTGTGGTGGACCACATGGCCGCTCACCTTGGGGTGTCCCCAAGCAGGATCCTTTTGCTTTTTGGAGAGACAGAGCTATCCCCTACTGCCACTCCCAGGACCCTAAAGCTCGGAGTGGCTGACATCATTGGTGAGAGGAAGGAAGGGAGGTGGGGCCTTGAGACGTTTGCCAGGGGGAAGGGCATATGGGGAGAGGTTCAGCACGGGCCCTGCTTCCAAGCCCTGACTTAGCCTGGCTTCCTGATTCTGCCTCCCACAGACTGTGTGGTACTAGCAAGTTCTCCAGAGGCCACAGAGACATCCCAACAGCTCCAGCTCCGGGTGCAGGGGAAGGAGAAACACCAGACATTGGAAGTCTCACTGTCTCGAGTGAGTGGGAGAGATGGCTCTCCACAACCCTCACCCTGTCCTTTGCCGCCTCTCGTCTCTCTTGTCAGTTAATGGAGTATGGAGTCCCCTAAACTTGACTTGCAGGAGACACTGCCGTCTATGTTTTTGGGTTCTCAGGCATCCTAGGTAGTGGGAAAACCCATTGTTCAACTTCCCTCCCTGCTTCTGCTGGCACTCTGTGCCCTAGTCTGGGTGCCCCCTCAGTCTCCTGACTCCTTCTGATTAAAACAGAAAGGACCCTTGGACAGTAATCAATAACCCATCAAAATAACAACAAAGGCCATGTGGCTAAGTGCCAGAGCCCATGCTGAGGATTTCCTCACATTCAGGATCTCACTTAATTTCACAACAATCTGATGTGGGAAACCACTGTTGTTATCCTCATTCAACAATAAGAAGACTGAGTTCTAGAGAGGTGGAATAAGCAACTTGCTGAAATCATTTTTTTTTTTGAGACGGAGTCTTGCTCTGTCACCCAGGCTGGAATGCAATGGCATGATCTTGGCTCACTGCAACCTCCGCCTTCTGGGTTCAAGTGATTCTCCTGCCTCAGCCTCCCAATTAGCTGGGATTACAAGTGCTCGTGGCCGGCTAATTTTTGTATTTTCAGTAGAGATGGGGTTTCTCTATGTTGGTCAGACTGGTCTCAAACTCCCGACCTCAAGTGATCCACCCGCCTCGGCCTCCCAAAGTGTTGGGATTACAGGTGTGAGCCACTGTGCACAGCCTGTATTCACTTCTTAAGGCCACTGCAACAAACTGCAAACTGGGTGGCTTAAAACGATAGAAACTTCTTCCCTTACACTTTGGAGGCAAGAGGTCTGAAATCAAGGTGTTGGCAGGGCTTCGTTCCCTCTGAGACTCTGGGTGGAAACCTTCCTTACCTCTTTGTAGCTTCTGCTAGTGGCCAGAGTTCTTGGCTTGAAGCTGTGCCACTCTAGTCTCTGCCTCTGTGATCACGTGGTGTTCTCTGTGTGTCTCTTGTCTGTGTTTGTTCTCTCTTCTTGGAGGGACATAGGTCATGTTGGGCTACCCCACCCTAACCAAGCATGACCTCATCTTAACTTGATTATATCCACAAAGTCCCTACTTCCAAATAAGGTCACATTCACATTTACCAGGGATTAGGACCACAAAATACCTTTTCAGGCGATACAGTTCTCATGGCCTTCCCATTTCCAAAATATATTCATCCCATTCCAACATCCCAGCATTAACTCTTAAGTCCAAAATCTCATCTAAATAGAATCAACTCAAGAAGTCCCAATCTTATTTTCTAAATCATTAAATCAGTTTGGGATGAGACCTTGTATGGTTCATTCTGGGACAAAATTCCTCTCTCACTGTGGACCCGTAAAATCTAGAAAATAAGTATTGGCTTCCAAAATACAGTGATGGGACAGACATAGGATAGACATTCCCGTTTCAAAAGGGAGAAATTGGGCCAGGTGCAGTAGCTCACACTTGTAATCCCAGCATCTGTAGTCCCAGCTCCCCAGAAGGCTGAGCAGGAGGATTGCCTGAGCCTGGGCGATTGAGGCTATAGTGAGCCATGCCTGTGCCACCTTTATTGGAAACTTTTATTCCAGTTACCAGTAACACATTCCTCATCTCCTACAGAGGCCTCACCAGAAACACCTTTAATATTAATATTTCTAGCAGCCTTCTGTTTGTAACAATATATGTATCCTCTTAAGATGATAGGAGCTTTCTCTGCACCTGTCCTCTTGAGCCTGCAGGGACATTCCCTTTAAAGTCCATATTTCCACCAGCAATCTCTTCAAGGCAGTCTAGGTTTTTTTTCTAACATGCACCTCAAAATTCTGGCTTTGGCCAGGCGTGGTGACTCACACCTGTAATCCTAACACTTTGGGAGGCCAAAGTGGACGGATTGCTTGAGCTCAGAAGTTCAAGACCAGCCTGGGTAACATAGTGAAACCCTGCCCCTACAAAAAAATGCAAAAATAAGCCCAGCATGCTGGTACACGCCTATAGTTCCAGTTACTGAGGAGGCTGAGGTGTGAGGATCGTTTGTGCCTGGGAGATTGAGGCTGCAGTGAGCTGAGATTGTGCCACTGCACTTCAGCCTGGGGGACAAAGCAAGACCCTATCTCAAAAAAAAAAAAAAATTCTTCCAGCCTTGATCCAATTCCAAAGCCGCTGTTATATTTAACCATTTATTCGGGCAGCACCCCACTTTTTTGTATTTTGGCTTTTGTAACAAAGTACTACAGATTGGGTGGCTTAAAACAAATTGGGTGGTTTCCCTCTCGTTCTGGAAGGAAGAAGTCTGAAATCAAGATGTTAGCAGAGCCAGGGTCTCTGAAGATATGGGGGCAAAAAACAAATAAGGTTTTTTTTTCTTTCTTTTTTTGTTTTTTAAAAGAGACAGGGTCTCTCTGTGTTGCCCAGGCTGGAGCGCAGTGGTGCGATCATGGCTTACCATAGCCTCAAACTCCTGGGCTTAAGTGATCCTTCCACCTCAGCCTCCTGAGTAGCTGGGACTATGGATGTGTGCCACTACCCTTGGTTAATTTTTTTAATTATTTTGTGTAGATGGGGGGGTCTCACTATGTTGCCCAGGCTGGACTCAAACTCCTGGGCTCAACTGATCCTCCCATCTCGGCCTCCCAAAGTGCTGGGATTACAGGCGTGAGCCACTGTGCCTGGCCTCCTCCTTGGATTTAATTTACTAGAGCAGCTCACAGAACTCACGGAGACACTTACTTATGTTTACTGGTTTATTATAAAAGGCTGTTACAAGGTATACAAATGAAGAGATGCATAGGGCACAGCATGGGAAAAGGGCACAGAGCTTCCATACCTTGCCTGAGCACCACTCTCGAGGAACCATCACATGGTCAACTCCTGGGAAGCTCTCCAAACCCTGTCCTCTGGATTTTTGTGGAAGCTTTGTTATATAGGCATAACTGATTAAAGCACTGGCCATTGGCGGTAACTCAATCTTCACTCTCTCTCTCCTTAGAGGTTGGGGGTGAGGGTGGGAAAAAGTCCCAACTCTTATCCTACTTTGGTCTTTCTAGTGACCGTCACCATTCCTGAAGCTCTCCAGGGCTGCCAGCCACCAGTCAACTCATTAGCATGCAAAAAGATACTTAGCTCTTTGAAGAGCCCAAGGATTTTAGGAATTTTATACCAGGAAACACAAAGACCAAATATATATTTGACAACATCATGCAGTCCCTCAGGGACTCTTTGTGGAACCTGCCTTGACTCTTCTTGGCTCCTGCCGGCAGCCCACGGTCCTTGGTGTTCTTGGCTTACAGGTGTACTCCATTCTGCCTGTGTCATCACGTGTGCTCTCCCCTCATGTCTGTGTTTCTGTGTCTGTTTCATGAGTATACCAGTCCCAGGCCAGTGCAGGAGCTCAAGCCTGTCATCCCAGCACTTTGGGAGGCCAAAGCAAGTTGATCACCTGAGCTCAGGAAGTTTGAGACCAGCCTGGTAATATAGAGAAACTCTGTCTCTACCAAAGATACAAAAACTTAGCTGGGTGTGGTGGCCTGTGCCTGTAGTCACAGCTACTCAGGAGGCTGAGGCAAGAGAATTGCTTGAACCCAGGAGGCGGAGGTTGCATCGAGTGGTCTGCCAGTCCCCCGGCATTAGCGCTCATCCTAATCCAGTACAACCTCAACTTGATTCTATCTGCAAAGGCCCCATGTCTAAATCACATCACATTTACACTTACCAGGGGTTAAGACCTCAAGGTGTCTTCTCTAGGGGACATAACATAGCGTTTTTTTAAGGTCACATGTCTAGTAGGCGGGAGAGCCTGCCCTCCAGCTCGGCTCAGCCTCACTCTAGAATCTGGGCTCTCTTATTGGTACATACCTCCATTTCATGGAGGAGGAGGCCGAGCCTAGGAGGACTTCCCTAGCTTGAAGCCTGCACTCCTAAGCCTTGGGCTCGTGGCCCCCACCCTCTATCTGAGCAACTTGGAGCCCAGAGGGATGAGGGGATTTGTCCCAGCTCCCAGAGAGGAGCCAGCTAGGCTAGCTTTTTTGTCCTCATGTTTCCCCCCATGGGGCCCTGACTTTATTGTCCCCACTCCCCTGACTTCCCTGTCCCATGTTCCCTGTTTGTCCCTACAGGATTCCCTCCCCAGCCCCGTTTTCATGCTCTGATGTCCATTTTTTGTTTCTCTCCATCCAGGATTCCCCTCTCAAGATCCTTATGTCCCGCTACGAGGAGGCCATGGGGCTCTCGGGACAGAAACTCTCCTTCTTCTTTGATGGGACAAAGCTTTCAGGCAGGGAGCTGCCGGCTGACCTGGGCATGGAATCTGGGGACCTCATTGAGGTCTGGGGCTGACACCCCCATCCCTGTTTGAAGGCCCAGCCTGGACTTGGGGAGAATGATTCCCCCTTTTTATCCCATAAGGGCTTGCAGAAGCTGAGGTAGAACTTATCTTTAAGCTGCAGCAAAATCAAGGAGTGACCTTTGTCCCCTCTCCTGTTGACCCCCATTTAGAGCCGTTAACCACTTGGTGAGTCCTGTGGGTGTTGTTGCTCTGGGTGGCCTGTGGCTCTGTCTACAAGTCATACTGGGTTTTGCAGCCCTGTGACATGGAGATGTCCCCTCACCCTTCCCATCGTCCTCCTTCCCTCACGGAAATGTCTGCTGTATGAAACTATGCACATACTGAAAGTGAATTGAAATAAATGAGGGTTGGGTATGAGCTTCCAGGCCTGGGATTTACACCATGCCTAGCCCAGTAGAGGCCTTAGTGCCATCTGAGGCTTAGGACTGACATTTGCTTGAGGCTTATACACTAGTGTGGTTGCCTGGCTTGCAGGAAATGACCAAGCTCCCACATGTTGGCTGAAGCGTAAGCAGACAACTGGGGGACTCTTTTGAAGGGCAAAGCTGGTGGATTCTCAGCCCAGGGTGTCTTCCTCATCCCAGGACCCTTCAGAGCCACCCTTTCTAGTTTACACTTTCTGGTGCACACATTTAAGGCATAACAGCACATTCAGCCCTTTGGTTTTGGATCTCAGGAATACGTCCCACGTGAGGATTCTCTGGTTTTATGGCTTTTTTTCCATTTCTTTATACCATCCTCTCCCATAAGCACCCATGTCTTTAAATATGAATGTATTATTGTAAAATACCAGATTTCATGTGTGAATATGTGCTTTTCCTGTACATAGTGCTATTGTTCAGTAGGTCTTAGGCCATTTTCACCCAATGTGTGTGAAGATAGAGCCCTATTGCCTCTTCTAGAAATGCCCCATTGCTTTGACCTGCCATGTGGCACTCCACAATGTCAATTGCAATTTACACGCATTGCCTAAAGTGGGGGACACCTGGGTGCTTCCGACCCGTCAGCACCGGATACAAAGCCACAATAAACATCCTTTCGTGTGTCCCCTTCTGTGCTTGTGTGAAACGTTCACTAGAATATGTATCCAGGATGGGCTTACAGGTCATAGAGATCAGTTTCTTTATGGTTTTCCAGATTTTTCTTTAGAATGGTGACTGACCCTCCTACTTGAGGCTGCCCGTTTCTCCTCATCCTCGCCAGCACTTGTATTGCCGGGCTTCCTAATTTTTGTCAGTTTGATGGGTAGGTAGTGGTGCTGTGCTTTAATGTAGATTCATCTGATCAGCATTCATTTGGGGAATTTTTTCACCTATCAGCATTTTTTGACCTATCAGCCTTTCTGGTTTCCCTTTCTGTGCTTGGCCCATTTTTTTCTTGGGGTTTCTTATCTTTTTTTGGTTTATTTTCAGGAGTGGCTTGTACATTCCTGGGCAACTGCAAATAATTCCAAGAATGCATATTTGGGCTGTGCATGGAGGCTCACACCTATAATCCCAGCACTTTGGGAGGCCGAGGTGGGAGGATCGCTTGAGCCCAGGAGTTCAAGACTAGCCTGGGCAAAATAGTGAGACCTCGTCTCTACAAAAAAAAAAAAAAAATTTATAGGGGGGAAAAATGGAAAATTTCTGTGTATCTAAGGGTATCCTTCACTGATAAGAAATTCTTAATTTTGACTGGGTGTGGTGGCTCACACCTGTAATCCCAGCACTTTAGGAGTCCGAGTTGGGTGGATCACTTGAGTCCAGGAGTTCAAGACCACCCTGACCAACTTGGTGAAATCCCGTCTCTACTAAAAATACAAAAATTAGCTGGGGGTGATGGTACATGCTTGTAATCCCAGCTACTGGGGAGGCTGAGGAAGGAGGATCATTTGAACCGGGGAGGTGGAGGTTGCAGTGAGTTGAGGTCGCATCAGTGCACTTCAGCCTGAGTGACAGAGCGAGACTCTGTCTCAAAAAAAAAAAAAGGAAAGAAATTTTTAATGTAGACAGTATGAACTGTCATCCTGCAGCTGATTGCTTTTTGATTGCTTATTTAATAGCGTTAAGATATTTTACATTTTCTCCTGTTAGCTGTTCAGCTTTTCCTTTCATACTGAGAATACTACACAGGCCTGAAAGCTAGCTGGTACACATAGGGCTGGTGCCTTGGCTGCATCTGTTCTCAACAATCAGGCACCTCTTCTGATAGGTTAATGCTGGTCCGTACTGGTTGCTAAATATTAAACATCACTTTAAAACTATTTGAGATCACTTTTGTACTCAGGAGGTCGAGGCAGGAGGATCGCTTGAGCCCGGGAATTTGAGACCAGTTTGGGCAACACAGCGAGACCTTGTCTCTTAAAAAAAAAAAAAAAAAAAAAAAAAAATCCAGTGAAATGCGCCTTTGCATACGAGATCCAAGTTTCACTTTTTGTGATATTATGAGACAGTTTTCTCAGTAATGTCTACTAAAAAAAAAAAAGCCATCAATCTTTCTCTGATACTTGCATGATTATAACAAAAGTATGTCAACTTAAAATGTTTTGTTGGAATGTCGCATTCCTTTAACTTTGATGACATTAAAATCATCTATAACATGGTACAGCTTTCCACTTTTTCAGCTTTTTAAATGTTTGTTAATAAGTTTGAATATGTAAAATTATATATTTAACCTCAACAGAATAAATGGTAATATGTTCAACTTGTGTATACTGCCGGATTTTTGTCTTTGTGGCCCTCATGTGACCCCCACTAAAATCCTTGTGACAAAGATCGTTAGTTATTCCTTTATATCCATTCTTCCCCCTTCTGTGGTACTAGAACCCATGGTTTTTAGTGAAGCACAGAGATATTCAGAATAAACAGTGGCTGGGTAGGGGGGGCACACACCTGAAATCCTATCTAGTACTGTGGGAGGCTTAGGTGGGAGGATCCCTTGAAGCCAGGAGGTTGAGGTTGCAATGAGCTATGGTTGTGCCAACCCCTTCCAGCCTGGGCAACAGATCAAGACCCTGTCTCAAAAAAAAAAAAAAAAAAAAAAAAAAAAAAAAAAAAAAAAAAATTTAGAGTACTTCTTGGCCTCCATTGTGGCTAGATGTAGCCAAGTGCCAATACAGGCTCCTGGGGTGTAAGTGGAGTAAGGTACCACTTCGCAGAAGTGCGCATAGCAGGCAGCTTGTACCCTCTCCTTTGCTTGCCTCCTGCCTTACTGGAAGTGGAGCCGCCCTACTGACTTGAGGTGACCTCCGGAACAGAAGCCACACGGGCCAGGACAGTGAGAGGAGGTGCCTGGATCACAACATTCACATAGCACCTCATTGGCCTGGCAGTGCTGACCTCTGAGCTTTCCCGTGAAAGAGATTGCTGTCCCTCTTAAAATCACAGTTATTTTAGGGTTTCTGTCATTTATAACTAAGTCCAGTTCTAATTCCAGGGTGTCGCTATTGCAAGCAATGTTGTAGTCATCCCCTTGGGGTACCTGTGTGGGATTTTTCGCGGGAGCTTCCATCCAGGAGTGGAATCACTGGTCACTAATTTTTGAATACTGTCAGGTTGCTAACCAAAGTGCCTGTACCTCTACATGTCCTCTAGCAAGTGCTGGAAGGTTCCAGTTTTCTCATACCTTCCCCTGAGTTAATCTGGGAAGGATATGGGATAGAGCACTCATTGTAAAAGACTTTGCATTTCTTCTATGATGAGATTGTTCATCCTTTCACAAGTCTAAAAGAATCTCTAGGGTGATCTTTCTTTCTTTCTTTCTTTCTTTTTTTTTTTTTTTTTTTTTTGAGATAGGGTCTTCTATCATGCAGGCTGGAGTGCAGTGGCACGATCTCAGCTCACTGCAACCTCTGCCACCCGGGCTCAAGTGATCCTCCTACCTCAGCCTTCTGATTAGCTGGGTACACGTGCCAGCATGCCCAGCTAATTTTTTTTTTGGTATATTTTGCAGAGGCAGGATCTTGCTGTGTTGCCCAGTTGGTCTTAAACTGCTGAGCTCAAGTAGTCTGCCTGCCTCTGCTTCCCAAAGTGCTGGGATTATAGGTGTGAGCCATCATGCCCAGCCTTGTTTTGTTTTCTTGAGATACAGTCTTGCTCTGTCACCCAGGCTGGAGTATAGTGGTGCTATCATAGCTCACTGCAGCCTTGACCTTGTGGACTCAAGCAGTCCTCCCACCTCAGTCTCCTGAGTAACTGGGACTACAGGTGTAGGACACCACACCTGTTAATTGTTAAATTTTTGTGTAGAGATGGAATCTCCCTAGGTTGCCCAAGCTGGTCTGGAACTCCCGGCCTCAAGCAATTCTCCTGCCTCTGCCTCCCAAAGTGCTGGCATTATAGGCGTGAGCCACTGCACCTGGCCCTGGATGTTCCTTCTCAAACTCCTCATTAGAGACCCCTGAAACTTTAATGTGCCTTTACTAAGTGCCACATACCAACCTTAGCGCTTTTCATAACCTCATTCATCCTCAGAGCAATCCTGTGAGATAGGTGTTCTTATTCCCATTTTACAGAAGAAAAACAAGCTTGGGCCGGGCGCGGTGGCTCAAGCCTGTAATCCCAGCACTTTGGGAGGCCGAGGTGGGCGGATCACAAGATCAAGAGATCGAGACCATCCTGGTCAACATGGTGAAACCCCCTCTCTATTAAAAATACAAAAAATTAGAGGCCGGGCGCGGTGGCTCAAGCCTGTAATCCCAGCACTTTGGGAGGCCGAGGCGGGTGGATCACGAGGTCGAGAGATCGAGACCATCGTGGTGAACATGGTGAAACCCCGTCTCTACTAAAAATACAAAACATTAGCTGGGCATGGTGGCACGTGCCTGTAATCCCAGCTACTCAGGAGGCTGAGGCAGGAGAATTGCTTGAACCCAGGAGGCGGAGGTTGCGGTGAGCCAAGATCGTGCCATTGCACTCCAGCCTGGGTAACAAGAGCGAAACTCCGTCTCAAAAAAAAAAAAAAAAAAAAAAAAAAAATACAAAAAATTAGCTGGGCATGGTGGTGCGTACCTGTAATCCCAGCTACTCGGGAGGCTGACGCAGGAGAATTGCCTGAACCCAGGAGGCGGAGGTTTCGATGAGCTGAGATAGCGCCATTGCACTCCAGCCTGGGTAACAAGAGTGAAACTCCGTCTCAAAAAAAAAAAAAAAAAAAAAGAAAAAAAGAAAAGAAAAGAAAAACAAGCTTGGGGCCGGGCGCAGTGGCTCGTGCCTGTAATCCCAGCACTTTGGGAGGCTAAGGCGGGCGGAGCTCCTGAGGTCAGGAGTTTGAGACCAGCCTGGCCAACATGGAGAAACCCCATCTCTACTAAAAATACAAAAAAATTAGTTGGCCGTGGTGGTGGTCACCTGTAATCCCAGTTACTCGGGAGGCTGAGGCAAGAGAATCCCTTGAACCTGGGAGTTGGAGGTTGTAGTGAGCTGAGATTGTGCCATTGCACTCTAGCCTGGGTGACAGAGCGGGACTCCGTCTCAAAAACAAAAACAAAACAAACAAACAAAAAAAACATGTATCTTGGCTGGGCTGCAGTGGCTCATGCCTGTAATCCCAGCATTTCAGGGGGCTGAGGTAGGAGGATCGTTTGAGGCCAGGAGTTCCAGACCAGCCTGGGCAACCTAGCGCAACCCCATCTCTACAAACAAAAAAATTACCAAGTGGTGTGCATGCCTGTAGTCCCAGCTACTCAGGAGGCTGAGGTGGGAGGATTGCTTGAGCCCAGAAGTTTGAGGCTGCAGTGAGCTGTGATTGCGCCACTGCACTCCAGCCTGGGCAACAGAGCGAGACCCCATCTCAAAAAAAAAAAAAAAGTCTCTTACTTGGTGTTTGACACCTTGACACAATAGTATTCTAACAAATGTTCGTTGAGTGATTAAACTCCTGTCTCAAAGAATCCCACCACCATCCATCTCTGCACAAGCCAGAAAAGCTTCACTCTCGATGCCTCTTCATCCCCGACACCCACTGCATCACCCATTCAACTTAACGGTCCCAGCTCCCTCCCCAATCGGCTCCCTCTGCCCCTCTCCATGCTGTCCCAGGCCAAGCCACCACTGCCTGCAGCCTAGGCTAGTGCCACAGTCACTTCATGGGTGGTTTTTTCCCCTCTGGCCTCTCAAATCTATCTTCCATGCTGCAGCCAGAGTGATCTTTTTTTTTTTTTAGATGAAGTCTTGCTCTGTCGCCCAGGCTGGAGTGCAGTGGCGCAATCTCAGCTCACTGCAACCTCCACCTCCTGAGTTCAAACAATTCTCCTGCTTCAGCCTCCCAAGTAGCTGGGATTACCGGCGTTTACCACCATGGCTGGCAAATTTTTATATTTTTAGTAGAGACGGGGTTTCCCTATTTTGGCCAGGCTGGTCTTGAACTCTGGACCTCAAGTCATCTGCCTGCCTCGGCCCGCCAAAGTGCTGGGATTATAGGCGTGAGTCATCGGGCCTGGCCTATTGTAGTTTAATTAATATGCCTAAACATTGACTCATTTTAAGCATACAGTTAAGTGTGTTTTTTCAAAAAATTGTTTACGAAGAGACAGAGTCTTGCTCTGTCACTCAGGCTAGAGTGCAGTGGCGCAATCATAGCTCACTGCAGCCTCGAACTCCTGGTCTTAACTTCCCATCTCAGCCTCCCTAAGCACTGGAATGACAGGTGTGAGCCACCACGCCTGGCCTCAGAGAGTTTTAGTAGATGTATACAATTATGAAAAAGTTTCCTTCTGCTTGTGACCCTAGGCAATGACTAATCTGCTTTTTGTCACCTTGCTTTTGCCTTTTCTGGGTGTTCATATAAATGGAATAACATAGTATGCAGTGTTTCGTGTCTGGCTTCTTTCGCTTAACACAGTATTTCTGAGTTTGTACCAGTAGTTCTGTTATCGGACAGGGGTCCTATATAGACCTCTAAGTGAGGGTTCTTGGATCTCACCCAAGAAAAAATTCAGGGTGAGTCCACAGTGCAAAGTAAAAGCAAGTTTGTTAAGAAAGTAAACCAGTGAGCTGGGCATGGTGGCTCATGCCTGTAATCCTAGTACTTTGGGAGGCTGAGGTGGGCAGATCACAAGATCAGGAGTTCAAGACCAGCTTGACCAACGTGGTGAAACCCTGTCTCTACTAAAAATATAAAACTTAGCCAGGCATGGTGGCACATGCCTGTAGTCCCAGCTACCCGGGAGGCTGAGGCAGAAGAATTGCTTGAACCTGGGTTGCAGTGAGCCAAGACTGCGCCACTGCACTCCAGCCTGGGCAACAGAGCAAGACTCTGTCTCAAAAAAAAAAAAAAAAGTAAACCAGTGAGAGTGCAGCTACTCCATAGACAGAATAGGACATTCCTGAAAGTAAGAGGAAGAAGGCGTCTCCTTATGTACAATACTTGTATATATGGGGAGATGTGCTCTGCTACAAGGGTTTGTGATAAAGAATTAATTCGTTTTTCTTCTTTTTTTTTCGAGATGGAGTCTCATTCTGTAGCTCAGGCAGGAGTGCAGTGGCATGATCTCGGCTCACTGCAACCTCTGTCTGCTGGGTCCCAGTTCAAGCAATTCTCCTGCCTCAGCCTCCTGAGTAGCTGGGATTACAGGAATTCGCCACCATGCCCAGCTAATTTTTGTATTTTTAGTAAAGATGGGGTTTCACCATGTTCGGCAGGTTGGTCTCGAATTCCTGACCTCAGGTGATTCGCCTGCCTTGGCCTCCCAAAGTGTTGGGATTACAGGTGTGAGTCACTACACCCGGCCTAGTAAACATTATTAATTTGTTCCCTTAACCATAAACATCTAGAGGCTAGGAATGCCTTACTTTCTGGAATCTAGCAAGTCTCAGCCTTATTTTCCTAGCCCTCACTCAAGATGGAGTCACTCTGGTTTGAATGTCTCTGACAGGTTATTCCTTTTTATTTCTAAGCAGTATTCCCATTGTATGAATATATTATTCCCCTGTTGATGGACATGTGGATTCTTTTCATTTTTAGACTACTATGAATAATGCTTTTATGAACATTCATATACAGGTTTTTCTTTGGATACATATTTTCATTTCTCATTGGTGGATACCTAGGAGTGGAATTGCTGGGTCATATGGGAAGTGTATATTTAATTTTCATTTATTTAGCTTTTTTTTTTTTTTTGAGACGGAGTCTCACTCTTGTTACCCAGGCTGGAGTGCCATGGCGTGATCTCGGCTCACCGCAACCTCTGCCTCCTGGGTTCAGGCAATTCTCCTGCCTCAGCCTCCTGAGCAGCTGGGATTACAGGCACACGCCACCATGCCCAGCTAATTTTTTGTATTTTTAGTAGAGACGGGGTTTCACCATGTTGACCAGGATGGTCTCGATCGCTTGACCTCGTGATCCACCGACCTCGGCCTCCCAAAGTGCTGGGATTACAGGCTTGAGCCACCGCGCCCAGCCCTATTTAGCTTTTTGTAGAGATGAGTCTTGCTTTGTTACCCAGGCTGGTCTTGAACTCCTGGGCTGAAGTGATCCTCCCACCTCAGCTTCCTAAAGTGCTAGGATTACAGGGCTGAGCCACTGTGTCTGGCCAAAAACATGATTTAAAAAATGAACAAAAGAGCCGGGTGCAGTGGCTCACACATGTAATCCTAGCATTTTGGGAAGATGAAGCAGGAGGATTGCTTGAGGTCAGGAGTTCCAGACTAGCCTGACCTCATCTCTACAAACATAAAAATTAAGAAGCTGGGCATGGTGGTTCACACCTGTAATCCCAGAACTTTGGGAGGCTGGGGCAGGCAGATCACTTGAGGTCAGAAGCTCAAGACCAGCCTGGCCAGCATGGTGCAACCCCATCTCTACCAAAAATATAAAAAATTAGCCAGACATGGTGGTGCATGCCTGTAATCCCAACTACTTGGGAGACTGAGGAACAAGATTCACTTGAACCTGTGAGGTGGATGTTGCAGTGACCTGAGATCCCACCACTACACTCCAGCTGCAGTCTGGGTGACAGAGCAAGACTCTGTCTCAAAAAAAAAAAAAAAAAAAGTTCTTTACATGGATCAAGTCCTTTGGCAGATACGTGCTTTGGAAGAATTTTCATCCAACATGTAGCTTGCCTTCTCATTCCACAGGTGCAATTTACAATGTGTATCACTCTAGATAAGCTCCACGAGGGAAGGGAGTAAGTCTGCCTTTCCCTGAAACCTGGTAAAATGCCAGGCACATAGTAGATGTTCGATAATATTTTGTTGAGGGAATTAAATGGCTGCAATCCGAATATCCTGTCCACCAGGGGAAACCAAGCTTAAGGTTCTGAAACACGAGGCACCTAGTGTGGGCGGGGAGCAGTCGTGGAGAGCAAGGCCAATTACGTCTATTCGGACTCAAAATAGTTTCTAATAAGGCATCTTGGGGTGGGGGATTCTCTCCCCACGAGACTTCAGAATTTCAGTAGAGGGTCTTCAAGGGCTGGTTGAAAGATGGGTCTTGAAGCTGTATTTGCACAGAACTACACTAATTTTACTTAGAGTGCCTGTTAACATGTAGCTTGGAGATTATAGGGTGCCACTAAGGAACCACTCTAAGTTATCCCTTTGACCCCAGTCCTGTAGCGGGGAGTCTCCTTAAGCTCGGAGTCCTCGCCTGCGCTACAAAGCCCATCGCAGGGCGTAAGGGCTCCAATCCCGCTTGGAGTGAGGAAAAACACGCTCCAGGAGGGGCGGGTGGAGACGCTTCCTCTAACAGGTATTTAAGTGTCCACGGTAAACGCTCAGGAGTTTATAAGGCTAGCAGGGTTGGGGAATCCCAAGAAACGGCGGGGCGCTGCTCAAGCTCCATCCGTCCGTCCGTCCGTCCATCCGTCCGTCCATCATCCATCCATCATCCATCCATCCCTCCATCCATCGCGCTGTTCAAGCTCCATCCATCCATCCACCCATCCAATCCATCCGTTACTGAGCGTATAAAGCCGCCAACCAGACCCTGGGAGGAAGAGAGGATGGTTCCCGACAACTAGGGCTGCTCCTTGGCTTTTAGAGGCATTTATCATTTCCAAAACCTTTTGAGACCCCATTATCCCATTGAAGGAGGAGTCTGTCACGTGGGCGTTCCAGATAAGACAGCTGAGATTCGAAAGGGCAGACGACTCCGGCAAGTCACCGGGACGCTCTTTTTGACGCTCCTGGGACCGCAGGGTCTGGGAAGGGTCCTGGTTACCGTGGCAACCGGCCGGCCGTCACGTGACGCGGGAGGCCGGGCGGGACGCCTATGAGGCTTCCGTAGTCGAGCCGCCGGTCACGTGTTGAGGGCTTCCCCGCGGGGACCCCCCCTCCGCCCCGCCTCTCGCGTCACATGACCGGCTTTAAGCAACATGGCGGCTGCCCTGGTGCAGCGCCAGGGCTGAGCGACAGCGAGTGTAGCGGCCTCCTATCCCGGGTGACGGGTGGCCTCAACGTGGGATCGTGCCCTCTTCAGCCCGCCCTGTCCCCGGCATCACGTGTATTCGGCAGGCTCCCTCCGCGCTGTGTGTCTACTGAAACGGGGAGGCGTGACAGGGCCGCCAGCTCCCCTCGCAGTCGTGCTCTGTGCTTCGGGGCAAGCTACTCGTCTCCGGACGCACTCCCCTTGCCTGGGTTCCGTCCATCCTCCTTTCTCCAGCCTCCTCCCCTCGCAGGTGGGATCGTCGGTGGGACCGGAGCGCGGGCGGGCGCGGCCCCCCGGGACCATGGCCGGGTCCGACACCGCGCCCTTCCTCAGCCAGGCGGATGACCCGGACGACGGGCCGGTGCCTGGCACCCCGGGGTTCCCAGGGTCCACGGGGAACCCCAAGTCCGACGAGCCCGAGGTCCTGGACCGGGAGGGGCTGCAGCGCATCACCGGCCTGTCTCCGGGCCATTCGGCTCTTATAGTGGGGGTGCTGTGTTACATCAATCTCCTGAACTACATGGACCGCTTCACCGTGGCCGGTAGGGACTGACTTCTGGGAGGAAGCTAGTCCAGGAGAGGGGAGCCAGGGTCCCGAGGGTGGCGCTACTCTGCCGGCCCATCCTGAATTTTGTCCTTTTCTCAGGTGTCCTTCCTGACATCGAGCAGTTCTTCGACATCGGGGACAGTAGCTCTGGGCTCATCCAGACCGGTGAGTGGGGACCCCTCCTGGTCCCACAGCCGCTCTTCTTCCTGTTCTGTCCCGACTGGGGCCAAGTGCTGGCCTGCCTGGGGGCTCCTTAATGAAGGTTTTGTGGCCAGTTAGGGAAGGTGATGGCCCTGATGTCGCTCAGGGGTCAGACGGGACACCACGTTTAAAGAGGGAGTCAGTTTAGTATAATGGTGAGGACAGACCTGGGTTTAAATCTCAGCTCTTCCACTTACTGTGTGGTGGTAGGCAAGGCACTCAACCTCTCTAAGCCTCATTTTCCTTGTCTATAAGATGGAACGAGTAATAACACGAATCATCTCTTAGGACTGATGTGAAGATTAACTGCAAGATTGTCTGTGAAGGGCCTAATGCAATGTTTGGCACATGGTAGACACCCAGTAAATAACCGCAGGAGGGCCGGGCGCAGTGGCTCACGCCTGTAATCCAGCAGTTTGGGAGACTGAGGTGGGTGGATCACCTGAGGTTGGGAGTTCAAGACCAGCCTGGTCAACATGGCAAAATCCCATCTCTACTAAAAATACAAAAATTAGCAGGCGTGGTGGTGGGCGCTTCTAATCCCAGCTACTTGGGAGGCTGAGAATTACTTGAACCTGGTAGGCAGAGGTTACAGTGAGCTGAGATCGCACCACTCCACTCCAGCCTGGGTGACAGAGTGAGACTCCATCTCAAAATAAAAATGAGAATAATGACAGCAGAGGGTGTCTGGAATGGGAGAGGTGCATTTTACTTGTTCACAACTTTGGGGCTTGTAGAAAAGGCAAAGCTAGAGCCAAACCCTCTTTTTCTTCCTTCCTTCTTCATTAATTTCTCAACCATTTCTGAGTACTCACTGTGTGCCTGGCCTGGAGGAAGTGACGATTACCTGTAGGACTCTGCCAAGACCATTTATGCCCATTGTCTTCTAATCCTTCCGTCAGTCAAAAATAGGTGTTATTGTTCCTATTTTATAGAGGAAGTAGGCAGTGATATCTACAGCTTATAAAGAAACTGAGGCTTGGAGAAGAGTTAAGACTTACCAAATTGAAAAGGAGCTTGTGCAAAAAAATTTTAAAGTGGGTGTCAAGATGTTATGTAAGAGATTCGTGTAATTGTGAAATGTTCTATACACTATCAAATATATAAAGCTTTCTATATTGAATGTATATTATACAGATCACTCATATGTGTACATAACATTTTAAAATAAAGGGAATTGACTGCTTTGTTAATGATTTAAAAAAAAAAAAAAGACTTGCCCAGGGTCACACCACCAGTTTGAGGTGGAACAGGAATTTGAAACCAGGTCTTGCAGTGCTCTTTTCTTTAATCCAGACCAATGAGGAACTGGAGGTATTTGAGGTGAAGTCTGGAGCAATGAGAATGGGATCACAGGACAAGGTCTGCCAACCTCTGATGAGTTGCTGAGTTAGAGCAGCAGCTCTTTCTTTTTTTGAGACGGAGTCTCGCTCTGTTGCCAGGCTGGAGTACAATGGCGCAATCTCAGCTCACTGCAACCTCTGCCTTCTGAGTTCAGGTGATTCTCCTGCCGTAGCCCCCTGAGTAGCTGGGATTACAGGCACCCACACCACGCCTGGCTAATTTTTGTATTTTTAGTAGAGATGCGGTTTCGCCATTTTGGTCAGGTTGGTCTCGAACTCCTGACCTCAAGTGATCCTCCCGCCTCAGTCTCCCAAAGTGCTGGAATTACAGGTGTGAGCCACTGTGCCTGGCCTGGAGCAGCAGCTCTTTCTAGGCAGCTGCATTTATCCACTTTATTATTCAGCATATGCTTACTGAGCACCTGTTTGCACTAGGCTGTGTGTTAAGTGAGTGAAAGAAACACAGTCATGGCCAATACAGGCAAGGATCTTGCCTTGGAAGCTGATACTCTGCTATGCGTGAGGGAGCAACAGTCAGTAAAACCTAAACTAAAATGGGACCGTTTTCCCATAGGGATAAGTGTTATGTAAGAGAAAAGAGGAAACGTGAGAGTCAGGGACTGGATGTGTGCTCGCCTGGGCAGGCTTGACCCTGGGCAGGCTTGACTCTGGGCAAGTATCTGAGCTGGAACCTGAAGGAACTATGCTCTGTGAAGTTTCAGGGGAGAGGAGAGACTGTCCCAGATAGAGGTGACAGCAGGTGCCCAAACCCCTAACGGTATTGACCTTGACAATTGGGCCACTGGGATGCAGAGAGAGGAAGGGAAAAAGGCTGGCCATGAGTTTGGAGAGGTAGGCAGGGGCTAGATCGGATAGGGGCATCGTGAGCCATGGTGTGTATGGAGTTTGGAGCTTGTCTTGGCTAGGTGGGAGGAATTGACAAGTACTAGGACCCTCCATTGTACAATGGGAAATTTGCAAAGGTATTCAAGATGGGGCTGGACCATCGCCTGGCAGGAAGCTCTCATGGGCTTCAGGCTGGGATGTGGGGGTGTTGTGAATTCCGTGAGGAGAAGGTGGGCATCTCTTGTGCTTTGGTGGTCCCAGCTGGGGTGGGAGTGGGAGGTAGGGGTACCCCGGCTGGGCTGTGACTCTCTGCTTCCCCCTAGTGTTCATCTCCAGTTACATGGTGTTGGCACCTGTGTTTGGCTACCTGGGTGACAGGTACAATCGGAAGTATCTCATGTGCGGGGGCATTGCCTTCTGGTCCCTGGTGACACTGGGGTCATCCTTCATCCCCAGAGAGGTGAGGCCCCGAGCTGGCTCCTGCTTCTGCCCACACCCACTCCCTGTCAGTCTCTGCTGGTGTTCCTCGGAGCCATGGCAGACTGGACCCCAGGGACTCCTGCAGTTTCCCTAGTCCGTGCCATTTTATACCCCTCCTGGCCTGAGTTAACTTGGCCCACCCCATCCTCTCCCCTTTTCTTCCAGAGAGTTCTCTGTCCATTATCCCCTCTTCCCCTACCTGGTCTGCCCTCTCTCCTTCCTCTCCTTCCTGATCAGACTTCCTGAAAGGCCCCAAAAGCGTGGCGCCAGCGTGGGTGAAAGAGTGGCTGGGTCCCTCCCGCTCACCCCGCAAGTGCTGCTGCTGACTTCTGCCCCGACTACTCCATGGACCCTGCTCTTGCCAAAGTCAACAGTGGCCTCCTGGTTGCTAAACACAGCTCCTACTTCTGAGTCCTGTTTGCACTAGGTCTTCCAGGAGCCTCTGGCGCTGTTGACCCATTCTTCCTTCCTGAAACTCTCTCCTGCCTTCGTGACGCCATCCTCTTCTGGTTTTCCTCCTGCCTCCCTGGCTGTTGCTTCTTTGCTCCTCTGAAACCTCCTCTGTCTGTTCTCAGGCTGCCCCAGAACTCTGTCCTCAGCCCCAGGACCTGTGTACTTTCCTTGGGTGATAGTACCCATCCTCAGCTTCAGGTGTCTTTGGTAGACACATAAACTCCCATCTAAGGTCACTGTTGTTATTATTATTATTATTATTATTATTTGAGACGGAGTCTCGCTCTGTCACCAGGCTGGAGTGCAGTGACGGAATCTTGGCTGACTGCATGCAACCTCTGCCTGCCGGGTTCAAGCGATTCTCCTGCCTCAGCCTCCCAAATAGCTGGGATTACAGGCATCCGCCACCACGCCCAGCTGATTTTTGCGTTTTTAGTAGATAGAGGTGAGGTTTCACCATGTTGGCCAGGATGGTCTTAATCTCCTGACCTTGTGATCTGCCCGCCTCAGCCTCCTAAAGTGCTGGGATTACAGGCGTGAGCCACTACTAAGCCCAAGGTCATTACTGATTAAAAAAAAATTTTTTTTAAATTTCCCATACCAGGCAAGCAGGGGTTGTCTTATTTAAACCTTTTATTATCCAGTCCTCCTCACAATAGCTCTGTGAAAAGTCGTTGTTATCCTCCTTTTGCAGATGAGGAAACTGAGGCTCAGAGAGGTTAAGTTATTTTCCCCAAGTCGCAGCTAGTCAGTGGTGGAGCCAGGATGCAAGCTCAGGTCTGTCTGATTCTCAAACCCAGGCATCTCCCGCCGTCCCTGCTGCCTCCCGGGAGCTGGTGCGGTGTCCCGGAGGCTGGCTGCAGGCTGGGGTGCCACCTCTCCCCGGTCTCTCTCCCCAGCGTTTCTGGCTGCTCCTCTTGACCCGGGGCCTGGTAGGGGTTGGGGAGGCCAGTTACTCCACCATCGCGCCCACCCTCATCGCTGACCTCTTTGTGGCTGACCAGCGGAGCCGGATGCTCAGTGTCTTCTACTTTGCCATTCCGGTGGGCAGGTGAGCGGGCCTGGGGCCTGGGGCCTGGGGAGGCAGAAGGGCCTGGCCTGGGGGACCTGACTGACTGGCTGTCCCCTCTTTTTCCCTTCTCTCTCTCCCGCAGTGGTCTGGGCTACATTGCAGGCTCCAAAGTGAAGGATGTGGCTGGGGACTGGCACTGGGCCCTGAGGGTGAGTCTGGTCTTGGCCTGGGGGTGGGTCAGCGACATTCTCACTGATCCCTGCTTCCTACCTTCATACACCTTCCCACCGCCCATTTTTCTTTTAGGAGACAGGATCTCACCCAGGCTGCAGTGCAGTGGTGCAATCAGAGCTCACTGTAGTCTCGAACTCCTGGGCTCAAGTGATCCTCCCACCTCAGTTTCTCAAGTAGCTGCAACTGTAGGTGCCTGCCACCATGCCTGGCTAATTAAAAAAAATTTTTTTGTAGGTTTGGTGTGGTGGCTCACACCTGTAATCCCAGCACTTTGGGAGGCTGAGGCGGGTAGATCAGTTGAGGTCAGGAGTTCAAGACCAGCCTGGCCAACATGGTGCAACCCCGTCTCTACTAAAAAAAAAAAAAATTAGCTGGGCATGGTGATACGTGTCTGTAATCCCAGCTGTGTGGGCTGAGGCAGGAGAATCGCTTGAACCCGGGAGTCAGAGGTTGCAGCCAGTTGAGATCCAGCCATGGCACTCCAGCCTGAGTGACAGAGGGAGACTGTCTCAAAAACAATTTTTTTTTCCAGGCATGGTGGCTCATGCCTGTAATCCCAGCACTTTGGGAGGCTGAGGCAAGCAGATCACTTGAGGTCAGGAGTTTGAGACCAGCCTGACCAACATGGTGAAACCCTGTCTCTTACTAAAAATACAAAATTAGCTGGGTGTGGTGGCGCATGCCTGTACTCCCAGCTACTTGGGAGGCTGAGGCAGGAGAATCGCTTGAACCTGGGAGGTGGAAGTTGCAGTGAGCTGAGATAGCACCATTGCACTCTAGCCTGGGCAACAAGAGTGAAACAATGTCTTAAAAAAGACAGGGTCTTCGTATGTTGCCCAGGCTGGTCTTGAACTCCTGACCTCAAGCAATCCTTTTGCCTTGGCCTCCTAAAGTGCTGGGCTTACAGGTGTGAGCTGTGCACCTGGCTCCAAACACCTCCCCCCCATCTTTTTTTTTTTTTTTTTTTTTTTGAGGCAGAGTCTTGCTTTGTCGCCTGGTGCCAGGCTGGAGTGCAGTGGCGCAATCTCGGCTCACTGCAATCTCTGCCTCCTGGGTTCAAGCATTTCTCCTGCCTCAGCCTCCCGATAGCTGGGACCACAGGTGCGTGCCACCATGCCCAGCTAATTTTTGTATTTTTTAGTAGAGATAGGGTTTCACCTTGCTGGCCAGGATGGTCTCGATCTCTTGACCTAGTGATCCGCCTGCCTCGGCCTCCCAAAGTGCTGGGATTACAGGCGTGAGCCACCGTGCCCGGCCAACACCCCTTTTTTGAGGCAGCGCTCCCTCTGCTGAGCCTGCAGGAAGCTGGCCGCCCTCACCTGGAATCCGTGTGCTAGACAGAACTCTTCCGTGCAGGTGACGGAAGCCCATTGTAAAACTGTAAGCCCCCTAAAGGGGCTGTCTTAGCTTTTCTTCCTGAAAGTCCCAGGGTGAGCTTCAGTCAGGTAAAGGTGGATCCAGGGCTTCCACCCTGCGCTTCTCCTCTGAGCTTTCCTGTCCTCCACGTTGACATCATTCTGAAGCACCGGAGAGCTCCAGATGATTACCTTCCCATTTAGCAACATTGGTACCTTGGACCCTGGGGCCATGTTTCCAGGATGGCGTCTGACTAGATGAACCTGTGTCACGTGGCCACTGTGGAATCCGTCACCGAGGCTGGGGCGGTTAACAGTGCTCTTGTCGGCCAAGTCTGGGATCCTATTTAAAGTGGATTGAGAGAAGTAGGGGTACTGGTTTCCCAAAAGAAAATTACCAAAGAGGAAGCAAAGCTAGGCTTGCAAAAATGGGGTGTTCCCTAGTGGCGACCCCCTTCCTGCAAATTGCAGGTTTGGCTTCTTGGAACAGGCACTTTAACTGGGTCTCAGGCTGGAGTTATCTGTACCCCACACTCTCCCCCAGCGCAGGGCTTGAGTGTGTCTTTGCCTGTGCCTGTCCTGAAGTCCTCTCTCTCCCCAGGTGACACCGGGTCTAGGAGTGGTGGCCGTTCTGCTGCTGTTCCTGGTAGTGCGGGAGCCGCCAAGGGGAGCCGTGGAGCGCCACTCAGATTCGCCACCCCTGAACCCCACCTCGTGGTGGGCAGATCTGAGGGCTCTGGCAAGAAAGTGAGTTTACTGCCACCCTAGAACACCACCTGAGGCCCCAGGGAGGCCCTGACCTCTGGTCTGAGGTTTAAGTGGGGGATGTTCCTGTTCCTGGTCACACCCCAAGGCCGGGAATTCAGTCGCTACTGCCCCCTTGTGTCCGCTACTTGAATTACAGGCCCAGATCCTGGGACCCAGAACTGCCTCTGCACCTGGTGTTGTGACCGTACTAAAACAAACCAGGAAGGGAGCAGAGAGAACCCCCCTACTTTCACACCTCCGTGGGGTGTGACTCTCTCCCTCCCAACTCCCTGCAGTCCTAGTTTCATCCTGTCTTCCCTGGGCTTCACTGCTGTGGCCTTTGTCACGGGCTCCCTGGCTCTGTGGGCTCCTGCGTTCCTGCTGCGTTCCCGCGTGGTCCTCGAGGAGACCCCACCTTGCCTCCCTGGAGACTCCTGCTCTTCCTCTGACAGGTGCCTACATGGGGCTAGGCTGGGGGGGGCGGCCTGCGGGTGGCAGGGCTGGAGTGAAGCGCCTCCGTGGCTCAGACCCAGGCAGGGAGTTTGACTCCTGACTTCACAAGCTGCCTCCTCTCCTGGAATCTCCATTTGCTGGTCTGGGAGATAAGTGATGAGATGATGTCTGCCCCTCGGGTCTGCGGGAACCACGGGGTGGTGTGTCTGGGGGGACCCTGGTTGTGAGGGTGGCTGGGATGGCAGACCCCTCTCCCGCTTCCTCACCCTCAGTCTCATCTTCGGGTTCATCACCTGCCTGACCGGAGTCCTGGGTGTGGGCCTGGGCGTGGAGATCAGCCGCCGGCTCCGCCGCTCCAATCCCCGGGCTGACCCCCTGGTGTGTGCTGCTGGCCTCCTGGGCTCCGCACCCTTCCTCTTCCTGTCCCTTGCCTGTGCCCGTGGTAGCATTGTGGCCACCTATGTGAGTAGCCAGCAGGTGTCATGGGGGGTGGCGTGGGTCCAGGGTGGAGGAGCAGTCAGCATCGTGGCCAGTCGAGGTGGAATGCCTGGTTTTGAATCACAGCTCTGGTTCTTCTCAGCTGTGTGACATTGGGCAAGTGGCTTAACCTCTCTGTGCTCGGTTTCATCATATGTGAAATGGGAATATTAGTAGCACCTGTCTTACTGGGTTGTGGTAAGGATGAAATTAGTTAATAGATGAGCCGGGGACATGGTCAACCCTGCCCGTGTTTGCCCTCACTGTCACGAACCCTCCACTCCTCTCTCATTTCCCAGATTTTCATCTTCATTGGAGAGACCCTCCTGTCCATGAACTGGGCCATTGTGGCTGACATTCTGCTGGTGAGTTGCTGGGTACCTCCCGGGTCAGTCTAAGAGGCTGACGAGAAGAAGATTGGGGGGCAGGAGTGTTAACCTTTCCCCCTCCAAGCCCAGCCCCAGCTTACCTTCTGCAATTAATGAGATCTGTAGCGAACCCCCAGCCTGCCCTGTGACCGCGCCCCCAGGCCCACCTCTGACGCCGGCCTGGGTGGACCCTTGGAGTTCTCCTGGCCCCTGCCTCCTGCTCCCTGGAGCTCAGAGCACCCACTGAGCTCCACCAACTCCTCCACAGTACGTGGTGATCCCCACCCGACGCTCCACTGCCGAGGCCTTCCAGATCGTGCTGTCCCACCTGCTGGGCGACGCTGGGAGCCCCTACCTCATCGGCCTGGTGAGCATGGTTCCTTGGCTGGCACAGGGCGGGCAGTGCGAGAACTTACATTTCCAGCCCTGGCCAGTGGCCTGAGCCTGGGCTGGACCCGAAGGCCTGTCCTATGTGCCGGGCACTTCTCACCTGGCACTGCCAGCTGGGTGGAAGAGATTAGGTCTTTGCCGATTCCTGCCAGTAAGGCCAGGGACCTCACATTGGGGGTTCAAACACCTCTTTCCCTTTCCTTCCCCTTTTCCTTTTCTTCCTGAGACAGGATCTCACTGCTGCCAGGGACCTTACCTGGGGGTCTAATCCCCTCTCCCCCTGCCTCCCCCTCTCCCCCCTCCCCCTCCCCCTCCCTCCCCTCCCCCTCCCTCTCCCCATCCCCCTCCTCTCCCTCTCCTCCTCCCTCCTCCTCCTTCCCCCTCCCCTCCCCCTCCCTCCCCTCCCCCCTCTCCCCGTCCCCCTCCTCTCCCTCTCCCCCTCCCTCCTCCTCCCTCCCCCTCCCCTCCCCCTCCTCCCCCTCCCTGTCTCCCCTTCTTCCACCCCTTCCCCCTCCCTTCCCCCTTTCCCCCCTCCCCCCTCCCCCTCCTGAGACAGGATCTCAAGTCTGTTGCCCAGGCTGCGGTGTAGTAGCAGGAACACGGCTCACTGCAGTCTCAACCTCCTGGGCTCAAGCGGTCCTCCCACCTCAGCCTCCCAAGTAGCTGGGATGATAGACATGAGCCGCCGCGCCTGGCTGAAACCTCCTTTCCTTTGCTGGGCTCCGCTTGTCTTTCTCCCTGGAGCTCAGGACGTGCCCTCCCGGCTCTTCCGCAAGGCCCTCTGACTTCCCCGGCTCTCCTGTCTCCTCTCCCCGCAGATCTCTGACCGCCTGCGCCGGAGCTGGCCCCCCTCCTTCTTGTCCGAGTTCCGGGCTCTCCAGTTCTCGCTCATGCTCTGTGCGTTTGTCGGGGCGCTGGGCGGCGCGGCCTTCCTGGGCACCGCCATCTTCATTGAGGGCGACCGCCGGCGGGCGCAGCTGCACGTGCAGGGTCAGTTAGGGGCTGTGCCCCGCCCAGCGTCTTGATCTGCCTGTCTGTCTGTCCGTCCATCTGTCTGCCCACTTCTGTGCACCTGGTGGCTCAGTCCACAGCTCTCCCCTCGTGTGGCCTCCAGTCTGCGTCTGCCCTTTGGGCGGCTCTGGGACTGCCCCATCCATTTCCCACTGCCTGTTTGCCCTTCTCTGGCGTTGTCTTTCTATCCGGTTCACCCCGGCTCTGACCCTCCCCCTGCAGGCCTGCTGCGCGAGGCAGGGTCCACAGATGACCGGATCGTGGTGCCCCAGCGGGGCCGCTCCACCCGGGTGCCCGTGGCCAGCGTGCTCATCTGAGAGGCCGCCGCTTGCCTGCCTGCACGCACGTCTGCCGCAGCTGGCCCTAGGCCCACCCCACAAGAGGCCTGGGCCTAACCCCTTGGCCTGGCCCAGCTTCCAGAGGGACCCTGGGCCTTGTCCCAGCTCCCGGACACTACATGGGCAGCTCAGGGGAGGAGGTGGGGGTCCAGGAGGGGGATTCCCCTCCACAGGGGCCGCCCCGGGGGCTTGGTGCTATTTGTTATGGAATAAAATTTGTAGCCAGACCCCAGGTGCCTACTCTCGTCTTTCTCTGGGTGGCCTCTGATCTTGCGTCCCGTCTTCACCCCAGGGCTCCCGAAGACTGTGGGTCACCCCTTGGGGCTCTGAGTGAGTCTCTGCTCTTCTGGGCTGGGTGATTGAGAGCGGGGACTGCTCTCTGAGTGAGCTGGCTTGGTGTGACCGTGAGTCACGCCCCTGCTTCCCCGGAGCCTGCCCCTTGCCTCGCAGGCCTGGCTGAGGTGGGGGTGGGCTCTGCCTGCTGCACCCCAGAATTCCTGCTGTCAGGGCCTCCCTGCTTGCTGCCTCCCCAGGCCCGGGATGCGGAGGCCGTGGCTGTCAGCCGGCAGGTGGCTGTCCCATTCCTGGGGGTCCAAAGACCCCTGGTGAGAGCCTGGGGTGGCTCCCGGGCCTCCTCCTGCCCCCTCCCCACTGGCGGGGTGGAGTGGGAAGGGGGCGGGTACAGCTGGCTGAGAGCTCGATGATTTCCTGCCCTCGCCCGGTGCTCACCACAGCTTCCTGCCGCAGGCGGGCGGGCGGGCAGGCAGGCACAGGGAGAGGCGGGCGCCGAGGAGGGGCAGGGAGGGCCGGGACACGGGTGGCTGGGTCCCCCAACTTCAGTCGGGGCCCTGGTCTGACCACCCTGGGAGCAGAGACTTCCCACAGCCAGCTGGACACCCACTTGGTCCAGAAAAAGAGGGGACCCATCCAGGGAGCCCCGGGGAGGGAACCGCCGCCTCCTCCTGTGCTCCCACGCTACCTGCTGCCTACCTGCCCCCTGCTGGGTCCGATCTCACCCGGTCCTCACCCGGTCCTCACCCCGTGCTCCCCTGGCCTTTGCTCTGCCCTTGAGGTGCCTGTGGGGTAAGCCGGCCTGCTCCGAGCTCCCCTGCAGATGGAGGGGACCGTCTTGGTCCCCTGCGTGCTGGGCCTCCTGCTGCTGCCCATCCTAGCCGTGTTGATGGCGCTGTGTGTGCACTGCCACAGGCTGCCAGGTGAGTGGGAACGGTGGGGTGCCCGGGGCCGGGGCACAGCGACGGGATCCTCACCCACTCCCAGCCCCTGCGTCTGTCCTGGCTCTGGCCCTGCCTCCGTCCCGATCCCAGTGTCTCTGAGAGCCCCTGGACCCCCCGCACCTTCTGCCCTCAGCACCCCGTGTTCCTGCCTTAGCAGCCCTCTCTTTCCCAGGCTCCTACGACAGCACCTCCTCAGATAGGTGAGTCTGCCCCGGCTGCCCTGGGTCTCCCTCCACACCCTGCGGTGGGATAGGACTGGGGCCTCTCCCGTCCCCATCCCTAAGCTGTGTCTTTTTTACCAGTTTGTATCCAAGGGGCATCCAGATCAAACGGCCTTGTGAGTACATGGAGGGTCCCTACCTCCGGTGTTGGGGAGAGGGTCCCCTGGCGTAGGAGTGTGTGTGAACCTTCCTTCAGCCTCCCCCTGCCACCCTGGGGCTGCCCACATGGCCTTGACCTGAGCTGGGAGAGGGGAGATGGCACCCCCAGGCCTGTCCAAGGTGCGGGGGTTTCAGGAGCTTAGTCTGTTCTTTGAGGCCTTGACGATATCTGGAGTCCTTCTTTTCAACTTGGTTCTGTGTCCTCAGACACGCTCGCCCCCAGGCCACCCACCTACCCACCTGTCACCTCCTACCCACCCCTGAGCCAGCCAGACCTGCTTCCCATCCCGTGAGTAGCTGCTCCCCTACCCCTCCAAACCCCCCTCCATCCCCTCACTTTCTTGGATTGGTAGCCCCTTTCCCTTTTGCAACTGCCTTTGCCCCCTGAGCCCCACCTCAGCCATGACCCCTGACATTTGACTCCCAGAAGATCCCCACAGCCCCCCGGGGGCTCCCACCGGACGCCATCTTCCCGGCGGGACTCAGATGGTGGTAAGTGTGGGGAAGGGCTGAGGAGGCCGGGGCCGGGAAGAAGATCGGCCTGGCCTGAGCTGACTCAGTCTCCCTCTCACCCTGTCTCTGAAGCCAACAGTGTGCCAAGCTACGAGAACGAGGGTGCGTCTGGGATCCGAGGTGCCCGGGCTGGGTGGGGAGGCTGGGGCCCGTGCTCGGCTAGGCTGACCCCTGTGTTGTTACCCCCAGAACCAGCCTGTGAGGACGAGGATGAGGACGAGGATGAGGATGACTATCACAACCCGGGCTACCTGTGAGTGGCCAGGTGGGAGGTGGGAGGTGGGAGGTGGGGGCTGAGGCTGGGTGTCCCCCTTGCTCACCAGCCCGTTTCTCTTCCTTTCAGGGAGGTGCTTCCCGACAGTGCCCCGGCCGCTAGCACTGCCGCCCCACCAGCTCCAGTGCTCAGCACCCCTGGCCTTCGAGACAGCGCCTTCTCCAGTGAGTCAGGCATTTGTTTTTATTTTTTAATTATTTTAGGGACAGGCTGGAGTGCAGTGGTGCCATCGTAGTTTGCTACAGCCTCGAACTTCCGGGCTCCAGTGATTCTCCCAAGTAGGCTACTCGGTCAGCCTCAGCCTCCCCAGTAGCTGAGACCACAGGTGCATACTACCACACCTAGCTTATTTAAAACAATTTTTTGTAGAAGACAGGGTCTCGGTATGTTGCCCAGGCTGGCCTTGAACTCCTGGGCTCAAGTGATCCTCCCATCTCGGCCTCCCAAAGTGCTGGGATTACAGGCATGAGCCACCATGTCCAGGCCTGTTCTTCTGATTTTCTTAACTTTCTCTCTCCTCTTTCCTACCTCTCTGTCCTTCCCTTATATCATCTGGGAGATTTCCTTCACTTTATTCTTCAATGCTTCCACTGCAATTTCATTTATCCTATCCAGAAACTCTTTCTTGTTTTCTACTGTTCTTTTTTTATAGCCTCTTGTTCTTGTTTCATGGAGGCAATACCATCTTATACATCTCTAAGGATATTAATTAGAAGCTGGTGTGTGTGTGCGTGTGTGTGTGTGTGTGTGTGTGTGTGTGTGTGTTTTCTTCTGCTCCCTGCACTGCCCTGTTACCTTTGAGCTGCTTTTCTCCCTTTCTTCTGGTCTCATCCTGCCTGGTCACATCCTCTGGGCTTTCCTCAATGTCCAGCATTCCTTAGTTTTCTGTTGCTTTGCTCTCTCTGTATATACTTGTCCTGGGCTATCACTTCTACACCCTGGCCTTGTTTGCCATCCAGATTGCTAGTTTGCTCTCTCCTGAACTCCAGACTGTCCAAGTACTTCATTCATTCATTCATTCATTCATTCATTCATTCATCGTTTACTGCGGTGCCCTCCACTGGGCTAATGCTATGAATGTAACAGTTAAGGAGGCAGACTGTTCTGATAAAATAGCTGGCTGGGTGTGGTGGCTCACTCCTGTAATCCCAGCACTTTGGGAGGCCGAGGTGGGAGGATTGCTTGAGTCCAGGAATTCAAGACTAGCCTGAGCAATATGGTGAAACCTTATCTCCACAAAAAATTAAAAAAATTAGCCAAGCGTGGTGGCACATGCCGGTAGTCCCAGCTGCTCAGGAGGCTGAGGTGTGCGGATCACCTGAGCCCAGATGGCAGAAATTGCAGTGAGCCGAGATCGTGCCACTGCACTCCAGCCAGGGCGACAGAGTGAGACCTTGTTTTTTTTTTTAAAACAAAAAAAAAACAAAAAGAAAGAGGCTGGGCGTGGTGGCTTACGCCTATAATCCCAACATTTTGGGAGGCTGAGGCAGGCGGATCACAAGGTCAGGAGTTTGAGAGCAGTTTGGCCAATATGATGAAACCCAGTCTCTACTAAAAATACAAAAAATTAGTTAGGCATGGTGGTGTGCACGTGTAATCCCAGCTACTCTGGAGGCTAAGGCAGGAGAATCACTTGAACCCAGGAGGTGGAAGCTGTGGTGAGGGGAGATCATGCCGTTGCACTGCAGCCTGGCGACAGAGCAAGACTCCATCAAAAGAAAGAAAGAGAAAGAGAGAAAAAAGAAAGGAAGAAAGAGAAAAAGTGAAAGAGAAAAAGAAAAGAAAGGAAGAGAGGAAGAAAAAGAAAGAAAGCTAACATTCACTGAGGGCCTTCTGCATGCCTTGCTGAGTCTGACATGTTCACTCTCTAACCTCACCACCCCGGGGCTACCTTCCTGCCCTTGCCCTCCTGTGCTCCAGCTGTCCCCTTTGTGTGACACGGGGTTTATCAGTTTAACAGTACTGCTGTGTGACAGGCTCTATTTTACAGAGAAGAAAACTGATGCACAGAGAGGTGAGGTCCCTGGGCTGAGGTTAGGTGCTTGCTTAGTGCTGGAGCTGGGATTGGACCAGGGCAGTCTGTTTCTGAAGCCCGCCTTGTCCACGTTTGCACGGAGAAACAAGAAACACATAAAAGAACCAAACAGGCCGGGTGCGGTAGCTCACACCTGTTACCCCAGCACTTTAGGAGGCCCAGGAGGGCGGATCATCTGAGATCAGGAGTTAGAGACCAGTCTGGCCAACATGATGAAACCCGTCTCTACTAAAAATGCAAACTTAAGTCAGGCTTGGTGGCATGCACCTGTAATCCCAGCTACTTGGGAAGCTGAGGCAGGAGAATCACTTGAACCCAGGAGGTGGAGGTTGTAGCGAGCCGAGATCATGCCACTGCACTCTAGCCTGGGCAACAGAGCAAGACTCTATCTAAAAACAAAAGCAAACAAAACAAAACAAACAACCAAATAGGCCAGGCACAGTGGCTCATGTCTGTAATCCCAGCAGTTTGGAAGGCCAAGGTGGGTGGATCACCTGAGGTCAGGAGTTCAAGACCAGCCTGGCCAACATGGCAAAACCCCGTCTCTACTAAAAATACAAAAATTAGCAGAATGTGGTGGTGGACACCTGTAATCCCAGCAACTCAGGAGGCTGAAGTGGGAGAATTACTTGAACCCGGAGGCAGAGGTTGTGGTGAGCCGAGATCGTGCCACTAAACTCCAGCCTAGGTGACAGTGAGACTCTGTCTCAAAAAAAATAAAACCCCCCAAATAACATGGATGGTGACAGGCACCACAAGGGGCTGACGTGGGGTGGGACATGGGCAGTGGCTGGCAGGGGGTGGGCAGGAGGTTCAGAGAGGAGGAGGCACCCGCTGGGCTGAGGGTGCCATGTCCCCTCCACACACGCCACCAAACTCCCACTGCTCCGAGCCGCCATCTCTGCTCCCCAGCCTAGAGGCTGTGCTGGGGCCTGACCCTCCCTGAGCGCTCATCAGTCCTGGTCACGTGCACCTCCTCTCTCCCTCTCCATGGCCCTCGCCCTTGTCCAGGCCACCATCACCATCATCATCACCCACCGTCCTTGCCAGCCTGGAGTGCCTTCTCTCCATTCTGTGGGGCTAATGGGGGTAGCTGTGTGGGGAACCTCTGGTGTCTGCTGTTGGGGAGCTCTGCATGCCTGAGGTTGGGGGTTCTCTGGGAACCCGTGGCCAAGAGTCTCTGGTCATAGTGCTGGGGTGGGGCTGGCTTTCCCACAGTGGAGTCCATTGACGATTACGTGAACGTTCCGGAGAGCGGGGAGAGCGCAGAAGCATCTCTGGGTGAGTGACCGGTGCTCCCCCGTGCCCTCCCATGCTACCCCACTGCCCTACCACGCTCTCAGTGTGACCAGACCCCATCCTGGGGTTACCCACACCCTCTGCCCCCTCTGTCTGGGGGTCCCCCTGCTCTCTCACCCTCCTGACCCCTTTGCGTGGCCACCCCTCCTTCTGATCTGTCCCCACAGATGGCAGCCGGGAGTATGTGAATGTGTCCCAGGAGCTGCATCCCGGAGGGGCTAAGACGGAGGCCGGTGGGTGCTGCGGGAGGGGCAGGCGCTGGGGTAGCTGCCTTGAGCTTGTGGGGCTGGCTTGCAAGCTGGAAACCAACCTCCCCTCCCCGACAGCCACCCTGAGTTCCCAGGAGGCGGAGGAAGTGGAGGAAGAGGGGGCTCCAGATTACGAGAATCTGCAGGAGCTGAACTGAGGGTCTGGTGAGAAGCCCGTCCTGTCCCCACCCTAGCCTGGGCCCTCAGGCTCTACTCCCTCCCTCCAGAACCCCCTGCCTAACTCCTGCCTGTTACCTCCAGCTTATCCCTCTGCTTCTGGGTGCCTGCTGACCCCGCCTGCCTCCTGATTCATATCCCTCCCTGCTCTGTTGCATTTCAGTGGAAGCCGAGTCTGTCCGGGAACCAGGCTTGCCTGGGAGGGCTGAGCTGGGCAGCTGGAAGTGGCTCTGGGGTCCTCACTTGGCATCCTGCCCTGGCTGCAGCCTGACAACAGGCTGAGAGTCCCTCCTGTAACTTATTATCACTTTGGGGTTTGGCCTGTGACCCCCGAACGCGCTGCACCTTCTGACACAGCCTGAGTGACCTGCCCTGGCCCCAGCCATACTCTGTGTAATAGAATAAAGGCCTGTATGTGTCTTTGTTGAGTGTGCGTCTGTGTGTGTGCACGTGTGGGAGTCTGAGTCAGAGATTTGGAGATATCTGTGTGTGTGTGTGTGTGTGTGTGTGTGTGTGTGTGTGTATGTCTGTGGGTCTCCATCCTCCACGGGGGCTCAGCCAGCGGCTGTGAGTGACAGCAGACATTGGCTGGGACACCTGCCTTCTGAATGAGACTTTCTGACCTGGGCTGGCGCTGCTGGGGCTCAGGATGCATCACTCCATGAGACAGTCCCAGGACATGGCAGCTGCTGGCTGTGACAATGGTTTCATCGTCCTTAGACCACGGGACTGGACCCAATGACCTGGGAGGACTCTCTTACTTAGTTCTTACCTTTTGTGGTTCTCAATAAAACAAAACTTAAAAAATTGTCTAAGCAACTGAACAAGTTACTATGCAGCACAGCACTTTTGAGACTTTGATGTGTGGGTGACTCACCAGCAGACCTTGCTGCAGGGTGGGTTCTGACTCAGTATCCTGGGATGGGCCTGAGACTTTGCATTTCTGAGCCGCTCCGGTGTGATTCTGATGCTGCTGTTCCATGAACCCCTTCTTGAGGAGCGAGAGTAGCGGGGGGGGCGCATCTGTTGCTTTTACTAGGCTGGGATCTATCCGCTGCCCCCCACCTGGAGTGCAGTGGCATGATCTCGACTTACTGCAGTCTCCACCTCCCAGGTTCAAGGGATTCTCCTGCCTTAGCCTCCGAGCCGCTGGGACTAAGGCGCGTGCCACCATACCCAGCTAATTTTTGCATTTTTAGTAGAGAGATGGGGTTTCACCATGTTGGCCAGGGTGGTCTCGATCTCTTGACCTCGTGATCCGCCTGCCTCCAACTCCCAGAATGCTGTGATCAGGCATGAGCCACCATGCCTGGCTTTTTTTTTTTTTTTTTTTTTTTTTTTTTGAGACAGAGTCTCGCTCTGTCACGCAGGCTGGAGTGCAGTGGTGTGATCTCAGCTCACTGCAACCTCTGCCTCCCAGGTTCAAGCCATTCACTGCCTCAGCTTCCTGAGTAGCTGGGATTACAGGCATCTGCCACTACGCCTGGCTAATTTTTCTATTTTTAGTACAGTTGGGGTTTCACTGTCTTGGCCAGGCTGGTCTTGAACTCCTGACCTTGTGATCCACCCACCTTGGCCTCTGAAAGTGTTGGGATTACAGGTGTGAGCCACCGCACCCAGGCTCCATTTCCCCTTATTTTGGGAATTTCACCTTGGCTTTCCTCTGATTCAGTCCTTTTCCAATTTCTTTCCATGCAGTTTTAAAGATTGTGTGTTTGTTTTTTCTTTTTCTTTTTTTTAAACAAGAGTTTCTCTCTGTCACTCAAGCTGGAGGTGGTGTGATCTCAGCTCACTGCAACCTCTACCTCCTGGGTTCAAGCGAATCCTGCCTCAGCCTCCCGAGTAGCTGGGATTACAGGCACCCATTATGACATTGGCTAATTTTTGTATTTTTATTAGAGATGGGTTTCACCATGTTGGCCAGGCTGGTCTCAAACTCCTGCCCTCAGGTAATCTGCCTCCCTCAGCCTCCCAAATTGCTGGGATTACAGGCGTGAGCCACCACGTCCAGCCTGTTTTTTCTTTTTTGGAAATGAGGTCTCGCTCTGTCACCCAGGCTGGAAAGCAATAGTGCAATCATGGCTCAGTGCAGCCTTGAACTCCTGGGCTCAAGTGACCCTTTCAGCTCAGCTTCCTGAGTGGCTGAGACTACAGACCCATGCCACCACGCCTCGCTAATGTTTTATTTTTTTTTAGAGATGGAGGTCTCACCATGTTGCCCAGGCCGGTCTTGAACCCCTGAGCCCAAGTGATCCTCCTGCTTTGGCCTCCCAAAGTGCTGGGATTACAGGCATGAGCCACTGCACTCAGTGTCTCCTTGGGACTTACAGTCAGTGGCTGCACCTGGCCTGCAGATTGTTGAACACATGACCCAGACGTGGGCCAAGGTCACCATCTTTTTCCTGGTCATCACGATTGACTCAGGTATGGGCATGTGACCTTGCCTGGGCCAGTGAGGAGCAGTCTTGGGATCTGGGCAGGAAGTGCTGGGCAGAAGCTCCATCTGCTCAGGGCGGTGATTAAGCTGGATAGATGCAGGCCTCGAGCCACCACTTGGAGAGCCTGCTCAGAATGAAGCCTGCGTGGAGGAGAGTGGCCTGGAGAGGGGCAGAGCCAGCTTCCTAACGGTGTCATTAAAATTCCTGGATCTGGGCTGGGAACCTGGATCTGAGTATGGTAGCTCCTGCCTGTAATCTCAGCACTTTGGGAGTTGGAGGTGGATGGATCACTTGAGGTCAGGAGTTTGAGACCAGCCTGGCCAACATGGAGAAACCCCATCTCTACCGAAAACACAAAAATTAGCTGGGTGTGGTGGTGGGCACCGTAATCCCAGCTACCTGGTGTGCTGAGGCAGGAGAATCACTTGAACCTGGGAGGTGGAGGTTGCAGTGGAATGCACACCACTGCATTCCAGTCTGAGCAACAGAGCAAGACTTAAAAAAAAAAAAGAAAAAAAAAAAAAAAAGACTTGGATCTGGACATACCTGAAGCATTATGTGGGCTGATAAATGACAGTTTGTCTTCAGTCAGCTTGACTTGGGGCTTCTGTCACTACAGCCAAAGTCATTCTGAGATGCAAAGTTGTTGGCAGTTCTCTGTGGACTCCAGGGTGCTGAGTCTGACCGGCAGACTCTGGGTGACGGATGATAGAAATACACAAACACAGATGTTTTGCCTGTGTGAGTGTGGCCAGGGGATCCCTGGCTCACAGATCCTGAAGATGGAGTCTGGCTGTGAAGCCCCCATATGCCGGAGAGGCTTGTATTTATTTTCGAACAGATTTAATGAAAAGGTCTAAAGCAAACACCATTAGTGGGTAATTAACATTGCCGACCCCACCCCCCAGTAGAGAGCAGTTCGGCACTAGTATGATCAAAGGTCGGTTTCTGGAGGAATAGGTAAACAAGCTATTTAGATAAACTCCTCTACATTCCCTTGTTATCTGCTCTTTGCTATTAGCTCAAGGTAAGAGGATTAGGCTGCCTTCGGCCACACTTCTCTCCCAAATCTTTTGCAAAAACTTCAGCCTTCCAAAAAGCTTTGTGTCTTTCTTACAATTTTCCCCACCACCCTGACGATCGCCTACTCAAGGGTCATAGTAACAGTGCCTCCATTCAGGGTCAGCCAGGTGCAGTAGTGCATGCCTGTGACAGTGGCTCCTCTGGGAGCACCCACTGCATTGCCATGCTCATTTCGTGCAATCGTCATGAACCCTCTGTTGTCAGTTACAGGTTAGTGTCCCCATTATGCAGAGGAGGAAACACAGGCTCAGAGAGGTGAAGTAACTTGCCCAAGGGCACACAGCTGAAGAGGTACACCTGGGATTAGATCTGTGGCCATTGGCCCCACCAGGTCACTGCTGCTCTGACTGGCAGCCTCCTTGCTCTGATGATGATGATGATGATGATGATGATGATGTTGATGATGATTTTCTTGAGACAGAGTTTCACTCTTGTCGCCTAGTCTGGAGTGCAATGGTGCGATCTCAGCTCACTACAGCCTCCGTCTCCTGGGTTAAAGCAATTCTCCTGCCTCAGCCTCCCAAGTAGCTGGGATTGCAGGTGCCCACTACCATGCATGGCTAATTTTTTGTATTTTTAGTAAAGATGGGGTTTTGCCATGTTGGCCAAGCTGGTCTTGAACTCCTGACCTCAGGTGATCCACCCGCCTCAACCTCCCAAAGTATTGGGATTATAGGCATGAGCCACTGTGCCTGGCCTCATTCTGATTCTTGTATAAAGTGCTGGCTGCCCCAAATAGGGAAGCTTAGAAGATGCCCAGCTGGAGAAGATGAGGGTGGGAGGGTTTGGGAAGGGGATTGGACAGTCTGGCCATCAACGGGTGGAGTTAAATCCTTCTCTTTGGATGAAATAGACACGAGCAGAGGCACCTTTGTGCTGATAGACAAAGAACAGTTGACCAACAAGGGCTATTAGTGTAACCAATCTAACAACATCTGGTGAAGCTGAAGCTAGGTATCTCCCTTTACCTAACACATTCCCTGGTATAAACCTTGAACAACTCCAGGCTGTGCTTGGTGGTTCACACCTGTAATCTCAGCAATTTGGGAGGCCAAAGCGGGCAGATCACCCAAGGTCAGGAGTTCAAGACTAGCCCGGCCAACATGGTGAAACCCCGTCTCTACTAAAAATCCAAAAGTTAGCTGGGTGTGGTGGTGGATGCCTGTAATCTCAGCTACTTGGGTGGCTGAGGCAGGAGAATCACTTGAACCTGGGAGGTGGAGGTTGCAGTGAGCCAAGATTGTGCCATTGCACTCCAGCCTTGGCAGCAAGAGGGAAATTCCATCAAAAACAAAGAGAAAGTTGCAATGGAGTCAGATGATGGCTGCTTAGCAGCAGATAAAATGAGGGAACTGTGGGCTGGGCGTGGTGGCTCACACCTGGAGTCCCAGCACTTTGAGAGCCCAAGGTGGGCAGATCACAAGGTCAGGAGTTCGAGACCAGCCTGGTCAATATGGCGAAACCCATCTCTATAAAAAATACAGAAATCAGCCGGGTGTGATGGCATGCACCTGGTAGTCCCAGCTACTCGGGAGGCCGAGGCAGGAGAATCACTTGAACCGGGGAGGTGGAGGTTGCAGTGAGCCAAGATCACGCCATTGCACTCCAGCCTGGGCAACAGAGTGATACTCTGTCTCAAAAAAAGACAAAAAAGGAAATAAATAAACAATAAATTAAAAATTAGGCCAGGCACAGTGGCTCATACTTGTAATCCCAGCACTTTGGGAGGTTAAGGCAGGTGCATCACTCGAGGTCAGGAGTTGAAGACCAGCCGGACCAACATAGTGAAACCCCATCTCTACTAAAAATACAAAAATTAACCAGGCATGATTGTGTGGGCCCGCAGTTGGCCCACGGCTAACAGGGGAGCTCGGGAGGCTGAGGTAGGAGGTTTGCTTGAACCTGGGAGGTAGAGGCTAGTGTGAGCCAAAATGGCACCACTGCACTCCAGCCTGGTGACACAGTTGAGACTCTGTCTCAAAAAAACAAAAAAATGCTTTATCCTGAGACCCACGAGGAGCCCTGGAGGCTTTGGAGCAGAGGATAACATCAGATTTAGGTTTTACCAAATATCCCTGACTTGGTTCATGCGGAGGATGGATGGTGAGGGCAGTTAGACTCCAGGCAGGCAGACTGTGGAATAATGCATGCTGGAATAATCTGAGACCAGGTCCTGGGCTGGCTGACGAAGGGGGTGGGCCAGGGAGAGGAGAGGCAGAATCAGGAGATGTTTGGGAGTCACGGGAGCGTGGTGTGCTGCGCCCCACGGGGAGGGCCCACAGTGACTCCGGTCC